AGTGCCTCCCCAATGTCGTGGGGGCTAGGTGGGTACCTTGCCAAACCAGCATGCAGAGGTTGAGCCACCACAGCCTCGAACGTATCCAGCACAAAATTTGTACATGTCAAAAACTGGAGGCAAGACATGGGTGATTTCACCTGAAGGCTGACCAAAAAGGATGTCAAGTACTTCTTGGTGTCTTCTTTGAGGCTTTTCAACCCACACACTTTGATTCTTTTGATCAGCATGTGGGTAGCATCAACTGTGTTGATGCCATTCTGCATCTGCTGCCATTCGCTTTGGGACAGGTAGTTCCAAGGCGTGGTCATGCTTTGATTGAAGAGGCTGCCCTTGATTCGAGAAATGCTTGCAACTCTGCCTTCGTGTCAGCAGTCAAGATGCCATTTTGAACAGCATCAGGACGCTTCAAGAAGTTAGAAGCAGCGAGCATTTGGACACCATTCACTTTGGACTGCAAAGCTTCCTGCATTCGTGGCACCAGCTGTGAACCAGCGTTCCTTTGGTAAATCGCTTCCATATCACTAATCTCCTTGACTAAGTCCTCAACGTCCCGGTGATCAAAGGATCTAGGCTAAGGTGAGCCCACAATTCCTATGGGCCCACTGCAGCAGAAGCAGAAGAGAATTGATTCTGCTAACCTTCAAAGTTAGAATTATGACAGCTCCTTTGGGCATGGGATAAAGGAGTTTAAGCCTTTACATGAAAGCCCCTTTGGGCAGAAACAATTTAGTTTACAAAATAAAATGAAAGCCCTATCAGCAAAACCTGTAGCAAGAGTCGGTGGGAATGGGCTCTGGGACCCTTTAAGGTTAGAAGCATATAAACTTCAGTGGGCTCTCATACCCAACCCTGGACCTTTACATGAAAGCCCCTTGGGCATAAACCACAATAGTTTCAAAATAGCAGGAAAGGCCACTGGGCCAGAAAAAAAACAAGTACACCACATGGTGTTTTTTTAAAATATTTTTTTCTCCCCCCACAGTATTTTGATTCCACCCAAGTATGTTTTCATCCAGGCTTTCCATGCACTATGGGCATACAGCTGCAGCTATCAGGCGCAGATAGCATCGCCAGAAGGAACAGGGACCCCAGCCAACATGTAACTGATTTTGATCACGTTCTTCAGGCTGGCAGGCAAAAGATGTGGGCCTTCATTCTGCTTGAAGTGCTCAAGAGCATCCTGCCTGAGCAAGCGAGCAATTTGTTTACGTCTATCCTCATACTACCTGAGTTCCCGTATGCTTTAAAAACATGATGAATTTCAACCTGGTAACCAAGAATCAAAACCTGATTGATGAATCTCGACATACCAGAGGCTCTTTCATCCATTGGATGAGGTCCAGGTTTGAAACTGTCGAGATACCATTGGATCAGTGGCTGAACCCCGTGCCTGACCCCTATTACTGGACATCCTGACAGCTTACACCTTGACAAGAAAAATGCAAAGGACACATGTCTGATGCACTAATGGAACACCAAAACCTGAAGCATCAATGTGCTATACTTGTGACAGCTTCAAAAAATGAAAGCATCAATGTGCTTTTTGGCTAAAAAAATGAAAGCCCTAAAGGCTGCTTATGTAAAAACTACATTATTTTTTTGATAGTTGTGCCAAATAGTAAACCAAATTAATATCAAAATCTGAAAAGTAAACAATATACTATTGTAGGTTCAAGTTAAGGTTCTGAATTGAAATGCCAACTGTTTCTTTTCCAATTTAGATTTCTGAATTGACATGGAGATTGTTTGATTTTCAATTTGGAATTCTGAATTGAAATGGTGATCGTTTGATTTTCAAGGTAGATTTCTGATTGAAATGGTGAATGTTTGATTTTCTATTAGATTTCTGAATTTAAATGGCGACTGTTTGATTTTCAATTTAAATTTCTGAATTGAAATGGTGACTGTTGGATTTTCAATTTCGATTTCCGAATTGAAAATTGCGACTGCTTTATTTTCAATTTAGAAACAGAATTGAAATTCTTACTGTTTGATAGTTTGATATAAGGTTTTTTAACCACCCAGGCTTTGCTGGAGTCAGTAAGATCTTAGGCGAGTACAAGTGTTCAAGCCATACTCACCCTCCAAGTTCTTTTGCCATCCACACTTTTGACGTAGCCCACCAAAGCTGCCACATACGCCTTCACCCGTGAAATCTCTTCCCATCGTTATAGTAGGCATCTCATCCTGTGCGCTTCTCCAAGCTTCCAAGCAACTACTAGCCCAGAAACTTTCCTGAACCAACCTCCACTAGAAGTTCCTCGAGGAGGCACGAACTCTGGTACCTGAGAATGAACAATACTAAATGCATAGATCAAGAAACTTGAATCCCACACAGAAAGCAAGACCATAGAAACATATGATGCTTGAGAAAATGTATGAATTTCCTATCAGATACATCTTGAGCAGAGGACGGCCCAGTCGAAGCTTGAGAGCCTTTTTGTTTGGTGCAATAAAGAAGGAGTACAGGTCAACCTCCCCCATTGCTTCTGGAACTGGACCAGGTAGTTCTTTGGGGATGCATGCTGCTGAAGCCTCAGAGGGGGTACTTCAGGAGTGGCAGGTGCCAACAAACCAACATCAGGTTGAACTGGCAAAACCGTAGTTGCACTGGCTGGTGAAGACGCGCAGATACCTGGACTTGGGCCAGGTGCCATTGCCATAGAAGCTTCAAGTAGTGGTGCACCTGGGTGTTTGGGTTTAGAACCTTCCACTTCTCGCAGAAAACCAGATCCACTACTGGGCTCACCTGGTGGCTGTTCTGGCAGGTCAGGCATCAGGCCATCCATCTGCAGCCTGTATGCAAAGTTCACCAAGAGGTCCAAGGTCTGCTTTTGCAACTCTTCTTCATTCAAAGGATCCTGAGAGGGGACGACAGCGGGGCCAAAACAATGAAGTGATGAGTATGACAAAATGAAGGGGGTTGGCCGCCATCACCCTCCCTCTTCATCACTACAGGTGGAAGTGGTGGAACATGTTTGCATTGCTTTGTTGCTTGTGTTACATGCCCATGAGGTTCCTTTAAGGTTTTTTCTATAAAACTATGCTTAATACTAAGATTGCAACTGCAACTACAAACTCCTGACAACCAAAACATTCCCATGCATGAGCGCACAAGAGTCCCAAACTTGCATGTTCCAAAACTTTGTAGCTTGCAGGGATGGAAAGCAACACAATTGACACTGGAGGACTCTTCTGCCCAGAGTTCAAATTGGCGTGCGTTCGCGCGTGCTGGTGACAGCATCTCTTGGAGCAGAAAACGGACGCTGCGCAGGTTGAGGGGCAAGGGAAAAAATTGCGACTTTCTGTTGAACTTGTACACACATGTAGACATATATGCATATAGAATGACGTTTGATTACGTTTGTGCGAGGAGGAACGAAATAGACCCCAAAGGTCCCTGCCACATATATATATATAGCTTCACCTGACCACTGACTCACTATTGCCGAATCCTTCCAAAATTCATGCCGCAACCAGCATTTCAGAACACAATGGATCAACCGTCATAGCGATCGCGTCATCATTGTTTTCTTGACTTCAATTGACTTCAATTGACTTGCAAATCCAAACTTCACCAAATTTCACATGCCAACTGGATCCAAGTGGATCTAAGAGGATCCAAGAGGCTGGAATCTGCGCACCGCCATGCGTTAGCTTAGCTCCGGCTCCCGCTCCCTGCGTCCAGGCCCGAGCATTAAGCCATGCCTCACTCCATGTTGAATCAAAACGCATCAGCATGGAATTAACATGGATAAGACATGAGGTCTCATACAATGCAAAATGGCCATCATGCGCCACAAGATATGCATGTTGTGCCATGAAATGCTATCTATCATACCAGGTGCCCACATGTATCCCACCTGTATCCACATATATCCATATGATTCCATATGATTCCATATGATTCCATCTGGATCCATCTGGATCCATGGTTCTCCATGTCTCATTCATATCTGGCACCGGGTCAAAACTGCCGAACAAATCTGCCGGGATGCCAAATAACCAGAGAGCTCTGCGCGGCACATGGGACAGCTTGGTGATGTGTCGAAGGCATGGTCCAGGGTCCTTGCCAGACAGCTTCGACCTCAGCTCGGCATTTCGATGGTTTGGAGACTGAGCAAACTCAGCCTCTCTCAGCCTCTCTCAGCCTCTCCCAGTCTACTAAGAATCCAAATTGATACAAATTGACCAAGAGTTGAAAGGAATTGAATTAGTTGCGTTGCACGAAATCTTCCACATGAGAAGCCAGCGACCACCAATTGGAAAATGTTTTGCAGGCACACAGATAGATATCTTTCAAGGGACAGCTCCTCCACACAACTCCACACAAGTATTCTTCTCGCCCTTGCAGTCCAGCAATCTCAAGGACACAGCCGACACAAGGAGGCAGCAACTAAGGCATGCCAAGGCTCACAATGTGTGGCCGCAAGGAATGGAAGAAGGTTCCCACAACCTCAAAGCACTGGAGGCCATTGATCTTCTGCCACTCTGACGAAATCATCCCAGTCTCTATATCAGCCAATATCGACCTACTTTCATGAAGAGGATGCTCTCAAAAGACCCTACAGGCCCTTTTGAGTGATTCAAGCACCCATAGTGCCATAGTGCCGCATCAAAAGTCAAGCATGAAAGGCTCATGAAACCTCAAGGCCTTACAAGGCCTTACAAGACCTTACAAGGCCTTACAAGGCCTTAAGGCTCATCAAGGCTCTGAGCTCAGAGATCTGTGGATTTGTGGAGCCGACCGCTTGCAGCGAGTTTACTGACAGTAAGCTCGCACTTGGCCAGCTGCAGTGCTAAACACGCGCACGCACCGACACGCTCTCATTCTTACAAAGAAAACAAATCATTGTATACGTACGTGTATATATATATATATACATATGTCTGTCTGTATGTCTGTATGTCTGTATGTCTGTATGTCTGTATGTCTCGGCTGATTTGTCAGGCCTACCCAAGGCATCGGTTGGGCCTCACCTCGCCATCCTTCGGAGGTTTACTGGTTTGGTGGCCTTCCCCTTTGACCGCTTGAAGTGTGCGATGGAGTGGGGCGGCTGGAGTCTGTCGGACGGACTGCAGGCGGGACAGGCTAGACGTCACAACGGACCAGTTTGAGTCCCTTCCCGTCAGCCCAACCATGGTTGACCCTTGCATGGGGATCCACACATAGTTGAGACCATAGAGTGGGGATGCTTAATAATAACCAATAATATGAACGCGGGAGGGGATCTATTCATAGATCCCATATGGGCAGTATCAGTATCATGGCTGGGCAGCACCTCAGGGCATCAATCTGACTGATGTGGGCTATGTCTTTCTCACGAACGAAGACACTGCCGGTGCTTCATATCAAGAATACGGGATCAGGAATCTCGGCGCTGGGCCTTTGGGACGAAAAATGATTGGACCACATTGGACCCATGGTGATAAGCATGGTGCAATCGCTCCAAACTGGGGATATACACGCAGTCAGAGGCAGCACATGTTTATTAGACAAGCAGTGCATGCGTCTATATATATTTTAATGTATACCTGAACATACATATATCTGACGTGTGTATGAATAGTGTAAAGCGTATATGCCAAACTTATACATATATATAGTTTTATTATATACTATTATTATCATGTTTATTTTTGTTGTTATTGTCATTATTATTATCATTATTATATAGATACAATGGATGGAGTTGTTTTTTTTGACACATGTGCCATGGTCAAATGTGTTGTTTCTCATGCGATGTGAGCCGCCATGGCCTAGCGGTAAGAGGATGGTACTGGTAGAAGACAAACAGAAACAGAAACAGAAACAACAACAACAACAACAGCAGCAGCAGCAGCAGCATCAGCAGCAGCATCAGCAGCAGCAGCAGCAGCAGCAACAGCAACAGCAACAGCAACAACAACAGCAATAACAAGAGCAAGAGCAAGAGCAACAGCAACAGCAACAACAACAACAACATCACATAACATAACATAATTTTGATGCGCCCAGCGAAAGAGAGAGAGAGAGAGATTTTTGATTTGCAAGTACATGTTCTTGATTCCGATATTCTCTTAAGAGTAAATCCTCCGAGCCCCAAGGAGCGTGGACGTGTCCCTGAAGCAAACCTTCTATGATGCCCTTCCAAACCAACCTTGGTCCCTTGGCCGATAAAAGGCTTCGGTGGTGAGTAGTTGTGACCGCGTGGCACTGTCAAGTTTGTATAGTTAGATGACGTTTGATATTGCTTGATGATTCTCCAATTTGGATGGAGGAATTTCAGGTGCGGAGTGACTTTTGGGGTGATTTGAAGCGCGTTTGGACAAGCCAGAAAGGCCCAACAAAAGTCTATAAGAAAAGCCCAAGAGAAGTCTGAAGGGATTTCGACACAGCAGATTCACAGCCTCAAAGATAGCATCAGACCAACTCAATGCCATTTGGCCAACCTAGCCTTTCCAGGCATGCAGATTCAGGAAAACGAACGCAACCAAACATTCCTAGCGGGGGAAAGATCAGATGCACACATGCTGTAGATTCGTCCATTTGAACATTTTTACATGGACCTCTGAAAGAAGTGACCGTTAGATACACTGCTATCATCTATTATCCACTCACCCCCCTTCGGGGGGCAAACAACCCACCCGGAAACCCTGGTATTGGCATTGGTTCATTCGGTGTGTTTATTGATGCAGGGGCAGGATGATGTGAAATCACTAGTTTCAAAGATGATTCCAATTTATATAGATAGATTAGATAAGATGTTTGGGACATGGATCAGCCCTGATGAAACTTAGCCTCTTGTAATCAAACATAACATGGCAATGGAAAATCCTGAAGTTTGATTGAAAACCATCAGCATATGGATTTCACAATTGGGGTTTTCCATTGCAAGGTGGGATGAGAATGACTGACAGCACTGAACCAATTCCCATGGCTCCTTAGTTGTTGCTCAGCTACTTGGTCATTTTTACAGGTCAGTGCGATCATTATTTAAATGACCATATGATTGCATACAACAGTTACAACACCCTGATTTGTTTTTTGTCAAGCTCTTCCTTTGGCATACTTTTTGTGGTTTAATTTGAACATAGGGAAGCCAGTACCGAACAAATTCTCATCGCCTTGCCGGACCTGCGGGATGGTGAATGATGGCCATGGGGAGAGAGTACCCCCAAAATTGATAGTTCTAAGAGTTGATCATGATCTTCCCTCTAACAGTTCTAACATATGTTTGTCATTGTTTTTTTGTCATTTTTCCATCATGTCCATCATTTCCACTACAGATGGAACCATATTATCTTGATTACCAGCCTAGAATGTGCTCCTGGCAAATATGAGCTGGAGAAAAAAAAATGTTCTAACTTACCCTCTGGTGCACACACAAAAAGCTAGGGAAAATAACATTTCTTTTTTATGGGGAAATCAATCAACTGTTTCCATGGACATTTTCAATAGCTATGTTAGTTTACCAGAGGGTAATTTTGAAGGTAACTACAATTATATAATTATAGTCATAGCCACAATAAACCCCACACTTGGCATCACTTAACCTGGTTCTTTCTACCACTATAGCTGTCCCGTCGCTTGCCACACCACCACAATCCACCACGTATGTCTCAGGACAATCGTGAAATACACGGTCGAACTGGAACGAGCCACCTTTTACTATGGCACCTTGATCCTTTTCCCAACCATTTTGATCACCTACCTGTCCTTCGGAGTCTTCTTTATGTCGCACGAAGTGGGAGATGCTTAGCCGACGGTGTTTCGAACATGTTTGGAACGATTATGCAGAAGCCGCTGCGGAATGGGTCTTGCTAGATCACCTTAGCTGACCAATCCCTCAACTAAAACTATACTATACTATTTACACATATTATATATATATATATTCATAATATGTATATATGTATATATATATATATATTAGTGCTATCAGATAGTGCCCGGCCTCCGCCTGGGCGGAAGTTTCGATCATATTAAACAAGCTATAGAAACCAATGGCCTATAGGAAAGTTTTTGAGATGCAGAACTTCCTTTGATGATATACAACGTTTATCTCATTCTTATATTAAAGCTGTGTTACCATAGGATTATAAGAGCCATCCAAAAACGGTTATTTCCGGCTTGCGGATTGCGATGATTGGTACTGAGACGGTGTGTTTTTAAGGCAGATGCGTGCGGAGGTTTGCGTGGAAACCAGGGTACTAAATGGCACAAGACCGACAGAGCCTTTGCGTTGTTGTTGTTGTTGTTGTTGTTGTTGTTGTTGTTGTTGTTGTTGTGGTCGTCGTCGTCGTCGTCGTTGTTGTTGTTGTGTTCAAATTTCCCAATGTTTTCGGGCATGCAAATTCGACCCTGCACTTGGCCAAAAAAAACAGTTGCTTCACTGATGTGGACTCTTGGCACAGCGGAAAATTGCACAAGTCTTGTGGACTCTTGATATCGGGGCCAACAATGTTCATCTTTAACATCAACATGGTGAGTTTGGGGATGTTCGTTTGGGGGATGTTAGACGTCACAAGGTAGTGCCACCCCCGTTGTCAACATTGTAGCTTTCCCCAGGGGCACCACCGTTGCCGTAGTCACCCTTACGCTTCGGGGCAAAGGAACGGCTGTCCTTTGGCATCACACTGCTGCTGGTGGTGGAAGTCATGCGGACTTCAGTGGCCGCCTTCGTTCCCATCTGCGGCGAGCTGCTGTGGATCGATTTGTTCATGTTGGTAAACTCGGTGCCTGGGATTAAGATATTTTGTTTGGAGGTTTCAGGACGGCATGGAGATGAGTGGGGCGAGTTTTTGTTTTTGTTTTTTTTTTCCGGAGGGTTCTATGGTTATGATTGATTTTTTGGTTGTGAAACCGACCATAAGCGAAGGACATGATGGGGATATAATAATATAATGCATGGAGGGCGCAGACAAAATGGGGATATACTGGTAGAGAATGAAGGGTTGCGATTAAACAAATGGATGAAGATACATGGGTAAGTTTTTTGCTGGGATGGAGAAGTGGACCACAAATTCATGGTCAAGAGAGGTGCTCACCTGGGGAACTCACTTGTCGGACTTCTTCATGACCGTTGTGAGCAACAGCCAGGGCCCAGAAAATCCGATCATAGTTTTGTTTAGTTTAATGTTTCGGCAGATGAGTGTCAGAACATATGTCAGATAAAATGCAAGATAAAGCGCGTCAGAGTACATGTCAAATAGAATCTCAAAATATTTATATGTTAGATAACATGTCCAACAAAATGCAAGATAGAATATTAGACAGAATGCCAGAAAGAATGTCAGATAGAATGTGAAAGAATGTGAGATTGAACGCCAGATGAAATGTCAGATAGAATTTCGCATAAAATGTCAGAATATATGTCAGATAGGCAGATAGGAATGCCAGATAGAATGCAAGACAACATGTCAGAGTACAGTATATGCCAGATAGCTCTCAAATATAGTCAAGACAAAATCTAAGAGAAGATGCCAGATAGTATGTCAGAATATACGCCTGATAAAATGTCATTTTGCATGTCTATATATATATTATATATATATTAAGGAGATACGCCACGGTGGCGATCACACAAAGTATTCAGCGTGTGCCTGCAAGGTGGTGCCACCTCGTTATAGGTTTATATCCCCAACGGCCATTAGCTATTCCATGTTCCACAGTAATTAACCTATAGCCAATAGTTAACCTATAGCCTATAGGCATAAACCAGGCTATAGTTTCGGGGCCTTTTTTGCTGGCTGCATTTCTAGCCGGCCCTGCCCAGCCGAGATCTTCTGCTGCTTGAGTCTTTTAGAGACCATGCTCGTCCTCTTTTTCGCCTTTCACACTGACGTAGCTCGGTTTGTTCGATGGCCGATGGCTACACGACGGAACGAAGCAGAACGAACATGAACGAACTGGGCCCAGTTTGGGATGTTCTGTTTGAACAATGATGATTTTCTGCTTGGAAGATTTTCTAGAGATGTCAATGTCTAGAGTCTAGCCTTTTGTGGCATGATGTGGCATGTGCTGGATGTTTTATGTTTTTTTGGTGTCTTTCAATGCACTATTCTATATTAAGCTATTATTTCAACTTCAATCGCAGCCACACCTGTAGTCGGAAGGTCGAATGTGGGCATATTCAGGTGTGATCAGATGAATCACCAAAACCTGCACTGGTGGTGAAGGTTGTATTTTACAATATTCCCTAATTTTCGATGATGTCTCTTGGTGGGTCCACCCCCATTGCAGCGACAAAGAATCATGCTGAACCTGACGAAAAATCCAGTACCATTTACCCTCCAATAAACTAAGGGAAGAATCGCCATGATGAATTATATACGGAAATCATCTATAATTGGCATTTTCCATTGTTGAATTACCAGAGGGTGGGGGTGTTGTGTTTGTAGAGCATGCCCGACCGGGATTTACAATGCACAGGTGATACAACCAAGATACCATCAGCGGAAAAAATAGATGTATCTAATTCAGGTGAGTTCCAATTATTTTGTTTTTTTTCTTCAAGGTACAGTCGAGAATGATCCGCGAACTCTATATTTTTATTTTTCAGGAATTATAAATAAATAAATAAATAGATAAATAAATAAATAAATATATAATATAATATATATATATACATGTGTGTGTGATATGTATATATATATATGCAGGATATATAGGCGGTACTGACTTCCAGAATATTCATGACCAAGGGGGCATCCAATTTCGTTTCAATTCGATATGGGTCTTCCAGTGGTTTCGCGCTTAAGCGAAACAGGAGCACTTGTTGCCCGACTGGTTGGCCTGGCTGGCTCCATGGCTCTTCTGCGGCTCTGAAGCGGAGCGCCGCTTGGTGCTGATGAAGGGAGAAGAGGAGATATTGAACATCTCCAACCTTGGGTTATTTAACATAGCCATGGTATAGATGGCCCTAATCGAAATAGATGGTTTACCTAGCTGTAAAATGGGTGGATCTTTCCATGGCGAACTGTTAGTCATAACCAGATGGTATATATATATATATCTATCTATCTGGGTAAATTATAACGACGACCTCATTGCGACCTCACTGGAATTTTGGTTAATAAGGGACATCATCCCCTTTTATGGCCTTAATTCAGGTTAGTGAAATATTATAATTTACCCAGATAAATAACCGTTTAACCAGCAAAAGACCAATTTTTTGATGGCTACCAAAGATCGACTAGAAGTGAGATGTGTTCACTTCTGAATAGCCTTTTTTCAGAGCCAGAAATTTGTTTTTTTTCATCGTTTGTTTTCTCTCTGGATGGATTGGAGTGGCATACACATATACTAAACTGTCTAAAAATCACTCTCACGATTTAGCCGCTGGGGGTTGGATGGCAAAAAAGGCAGTCCCCGCATTTTCAACTGGCGAAAATATGAACGTGGGGTTCCACTTCAGCAACTTGAGGACTTCGTGAGATGAGAACTTGAACAGCTGGAAGATGACAGCCGTGCTGATTTTATGTGTTATGGTAAACAAACAAAAAACTATGGATATTCACTATTTTTAATGGGTAAATCAACTATTTCTATGGCCATGTTCAATAGCTATGTTTGTTTACCAGAGGGTATGTGTTATGCAGCTTATGTACCTGGAACTCTTAGGGTATAGGACACATTGAACGTATGAACGACGAGAAAATGATAACCATTATATTTCTGCCCTGACCCTTCAAACACCATCATTTGAGTGTGACTGGAACCACCATTGTTTTCCTAGTGGTTTTAGACTACCAATCAGGGTCAACCATGTGTTGGACGATTTGGACGGTCTTGGAAGCCCAGAAAACTCGGAATATCATAGGGATGTGGCTTTTGAGAGGCTCCTCCCAAGATGGTCATGGCAAGTTGAGGCTTCCTGCAATCTGCTTCATAAACTCAGGTCTCTAGTCACTATAGTCTCCAAATGAAGTAAGTTTTCAGAAAGTTAACCATATATCTACGATAAAGCTAACGCATACCCTACTTCTTTCCACTAACTTTGCAAAGGGGGGCCCACCTCGTTGATGGCTGACCACCAACCAGTGATGCTTAAGGCCGTGCACTGAAAGTGGTGGAGTCGCAAGCAGGCGCGAGCATCCGGAGCCTGGGAGATCTGAAGCATGTCGGGGTGAACTTTGGGTCGTGTAGTACAAGTTGCTTTGAGGAGGGGTATATCAATATAAATATATACTGTATCTATAATAGATGTATAATATTCACACACACACAGATAGATAAGAAAGATAGATAGATAGGTAGATAGGTAGATAGATAGATAGATATATATATATATATATATGTCCGACCCTTGAGAATCAAACGTGGACAAAAAACTGAAAGAACTTCCCCAACTCGTCAGGTCAAGTTTACCGACGTATCAGCAAGGGCATCCTGCAGCCCGGGAAGAGCTCCTTTCGACGCTTGGACACCGAGGTCATGGTGCCTGAAAAATACGTATCTATAACTTTTGTAGTACCCCCCTGGAAAAGATGGTAACGTAAATTCCACATAATTAACTATATAATATTATATAATCATATAATAAAATATATTAAATAGAATGCAGGATAAATATCATTCACTTAAATAGTGACGTTAATCTAATATGAATCATATGTTTTTTTTTCTGTTTTGCTGGGGGGGTTACTGTTCTTCAAATATCGCATTCTGCTGTCCGAAGCTTCGCCGAGTCCCCCAACCTGGGACGGAATTTTCCAGGTGTTCCCTGAAATGAAATCCCTTAGTTAGTTATAGTAATCCCCAAATAGATGGAAAAGGTGAAATCACCATCAGATTAGTAGGGATTTACTCGATTTACCTGTCTATTTGGGGATGACTATACGTGATGTTCATTGATTTTCTATGATTTTCTGGCAAATTGTGTTGGTTGCTGTTGTTCTAAACGATCTTTATGGAGCTTTAAGAAAGATGATTAAATTCATGGCTTTATCTTTTTCGTTGCTGACTAGAGTCCCAGTTATTTGGTGGTTGAAATTTCCATTCATTGATGTTTTTTCTTAAATAGATGAATATTCCTTTGTTGGAAACTTTCCTGCATCTTTTGTTCATTCCCAATTTTCCCGCTTATACGTTGATATATGAGCCCGGTTTATTATATATAGTATAAGAGAACAATAAACTCTAAAGTACATGATGTTTTTTCCTCTATGCCTCCACTAACTCGAACTTGAGTTAACCTTAAGTGAGTGTCGGGCGTCAACTTCGGACCGCCAGGCTCCCTGGAGCAGTTGCAGGAGCAGGAGCATCTCTCGGAGTCGGATCCGTGGCGACTTAAGTGGACCGAAAAATGAACCCACAGCCGTTACCCGGGAAATGAACAGTTTGCGAACTGGAGACTGGTCCATTTTATGGTGATTTCATTGGATTTTATAGTGATTCAATGGGATATTAATGGGATATACCCTCTGGTTATGACTAACATAGCCATGGTATAAATGGTCCATAGAAATAGATGGTTTACCGAACTTAAAAATGGATGGATTTTCCATGGCGATGTTCAATAGGTTTTTCTGGAGAATCACCAATAAGTCGGTAAATCATGGTAAATCCACTATTTCTAGGGGCAATTTTCAATAGCAAACTGTAACAAATTACCAGAGGGTAAATTTAATATTTACACCCTAAATAAATGGCTTTGGAAGATGCCATTCCGAAGCTGGATATATAAGCATACATGTTTTTTCAAGTAAATAAATAAATAAATATATATATATAACTGGATGGAATAGAAATCCTTCACTTCATAATATGTAGTGTTTTGTTCGGGGGATAGATGATGCTAGATGGATTTACCACATACATAATCCATTAAAAGTCAAACTTTGTTGGGTGTTAGTTTTTTTTAGCTACAAAAGCATTTGATTTAGGGCGGATATTCGGCAGTTGAATGGGGTTGATGACAAACCACATGATTTCAATATTTTTTTCTGTGGGTATTTCTGAACCCCCTGAAGAAAAATGATGGGTACAGTTTCAACATGTTTTCTTTTTTTGGAAGATTATGTTCCTCGTTACGGAGTGCCTAAATTCCACTTGGAATTTGATGATTGGCCAAGGCGTTGGGTACAACGCGGGAGCGCTGAGATATTTGTCAGGGATTTCAGGGATCCATTTTCAGCAGCCACCATGGTTGGTTCCTGTTGGTTCAAGTCATTTTCAGTCGGCCTCCCATTGTCATTCTTTGAATCCCCTCTTTGGTCATTCACATTCCTACACCAAGGGATCGCCGAATTGAGGCGGGCCTGGGTTTTTGATCATTCAACATTTGGGGTTTAGACTGGTTTAGATCAGGAATGTGTATAATTACAGTATCACGGATATGTGCTGCTGTCAGCTTGCGGCGGCAGTAGCACACTTGCTGCCAGTATTGAATAGCTCCTGTTTGTGTTTTGTGGGCCCCAAAACAGGGACCAGATTCTGGACCCAAAAATTGGGCCACAATACTGAAATTAGTAGCCCGGCTTCCAAATTTGTGGCCACAATTTTGGGCCCATGGTATATGCGTTTTGCCTTCTGTAAAGAGCACGTTGAGCTGCGGCAGGTTGCATCTTTCATTTATGTTTTCTTGCGCTTGGTGCCAGGATGCTGGTTTCACAGTACACTGTATTTTACAGTGAAATTTGCTTGTGTGAAATGCATTATTCATTTCAGAAAAAACAAGCGAAAATCTGAGCGTCCGAAGTTTGTGCGACGCATAGTTTTTTTTGAATTGTTGGCGTGTTGGTGAGAAATAATATATAATGCATGTCACGCAAACAGATTGCACTGTAAAATACAGCAAATCGCACACGTCCTGATCTGTCTTAAGGTTGTTACAACCCCCCCACCCCCCCAGCCCCGGCAAATGTGAACGTGCATCTTCCAATGTACATGTGAACATCAGCTACATGTCAAAAGATGCCAATTAAGGAACGCAGCAATTCGAAGAACATCGAAGAACCCTTACAGGCCCGCCTCAAGGCAGTGACCCCCAAAACAACATGTGATTAGTTGTGGTACGTCATTGCTATACCCTCGTGCAAACACACATAGATGGGTTGGAAAACTATTAAGAGATCATTTCCAGCTTGGGTTTCCACAGAGCGGTTTTCCACATCTTGATTCTTTGTTTTACTATTATTTAACTGGGTATCCCCATCCATGGAGATTGACACCAGAACGGTTTTCCTTGGGGATCATTCCGGAAAGAAAAAAAACAGAAATCTGGTCGCCAAATGTTCCCCTGAATTCTATGGTTTATGGTAGATATAACTATAGAATTACTGGTTAGTATTCATGGGGCTTAAAAACTTTCCCAAACATCTAAGGATGGGGCGCCCCATCCTAAGGATACCGCGAAGCTGATCTTCTTTGAGAACTTGTTCTACATGTTGGACTCAGACTCCAACGGATTGATCGCCATGGAGGACCCGAGACGTGGCGATGGTTTTTAAGGGGAAATCCCCCAACGAAATGGAGTTTTTTTTTTAAATGGTTTTTTGTTAATAGGAACATCATCTAGAAATGGATTATTTATATGATTTATAAGGGAAAATCCATCTATAAATGGATAAATGGATAAAAATGGTGGATTGTACATTCCCATCTTCGAGGGAACCATAGGCTACTTTCCCTGTGATTCCGTGGATTTTGGATGCCGAAACCTCGTTGATATCCAGGTGATTTCACCGAAGAAACCGGTCGAACGCGTAGGATGCTTCGGTGATGTTGAGCTTTGTGAATTTGTCACTTTGTCGGCGATTTAGCGGCGATGCTGCTACCGTCCGATGAACGTGGCTGGGGAATCTTCCGAGTTCTGATAACTTGGTGTATCCACACAACCTGGGATGATCCTGGAAGTCGAGTCAGCGCTATAATGGCTATGTTGGTAATTCCAATATGTTTATATGATATGGTATTGATATGGTATATATATATAATATGTATATAAATATATATGTATATATATGTATATATATATATAACCACTCAGTAGGTGTAACATATACAGTAATATGATGTATATACCATAATATACAATATATGTGTGTGTGATTTGTAATCTATAATGCAATGTTTGGGGGTTTTCCCGGGTTATCAATAATTTAATGTACCGACTTCAGGGGTCTTTACTGTACAACTGCTGGTTTTGCTAACTTCAAACCCTTGATTTCTCCCTTGTGTACCCAAAGTGAAACTCATGACTCTGGTTTAAGAAGAAACATGTAATTAGAAAACACCCGCCTACCCTTCCCTCAGTGTAGAACTTACCTTGTTCGTCATGTTCATCTCTATCGACCCGGCTCATTGTAACTTACATTTTATTGCCCAAAGTTCAGATGTTGAGGGCGTATTTTATACTCAAATGACTTGAGTGGTATATTACCACCACTATGAGCATCGGGAATCATACCCAAATAAAGACCCACACCAAGGAGCCGCTCGCGAGATGATTTGGAGAAGATCTTGACGGTGCCAAGGGTCAATGACTGGGAAATCCTGGAACGGAATAGAGATTTCAAGAGTCAAATCGATGGTGATACTCTTTACAGGCTTTACAGGTCAGAATCTGACCCCTGGGATATTCCATGTTTTGAACTGCTTGGCTTGGTAATTTGGATAGTTTTTTTTTTGAATCATTGGAATGACCAAAAACGTCATGGCCTAGATAATCAAAACAATCGGGATTTCCCAGAACGAATGGGGATGACATCCCTACAGCCTGGGCAGAAAATCTATCCAGGTCCCGGGTCTACATGGACAGTGGTTAAACAAAGTATATGCCATGTCTAGATATATCAACGTCGGCTTATCTGTGGTGCCCTAATGGTTTAGGCGCATTCTATGGTTTATGTCAGATGCAGCCAAAAAAAATAACCAAGTTTTACTCGTAGGAACCTTGCATAGATTCGGATGGTACTCAGCACTACTAAGCTGTGCTGCACTAGCTACATAAAGGCAATGCTACCTACCTCATACAACAAGCTCTGCTTCAGTTCATTTTGCTGCAGTAATAGTGCCAATGTACTTGTGATTTGGGTCATTTCCAAACCGTCACCAAATTGTGTTCATGAAAATCCGGATGTAAGTCATGAGTATTTATTTTGGGTATATATGTTGATCGGGGGTTGTTCAGAAATGGGGCACACCTCCAAATTTGCAATGGTCATGGGAAACCTGATGAGAACCCCTCATGAGAATTGGGGGGTGTTCCATGTACAGAAACACAGGTGCCATGTCCGAGATACGTCCCCTAGGGATCCCTAGGGCCTTTTTGTTATCCATGTTTGAGGTAAATAAATATATATTAGCATTGTGCTAGGAAACTATCGCTGAAGCATCTACAGTGATCGTTTTACCATGGCGAAAGTCCCGCGAGGCCCACTTTTCGGAGCACCATCGACTGAATTGCGCAGACTTTGTGGAGCGGCTGGGCTGCAGAGAGAGAGGAACAATGAGAGGTTAGTGATTCAAAGTTGAATGGACTTCAATGAAGACCCCATGATTGAAATCCTATAACCAGTTGGTGATTCAGGTTGTGTTTAAAGATTCAATGGGATTTCAATGGACTTTTAGACACACATGGTGAGTTCATAGGATCTTCATGGGAGCAGGGTTTAGGGTGATGAATTTCATCGGCCAACCTGGGGATTTGATCATATTTGATCAACGAAAAATCAGGATTGAACCATCAAGAACGTGAAAGTACCCAGAAAGCACAGATTAACGTTACAAAAAAAACGAAATCTTGATGTTTAAATTGATATTCGGATGGATATTTGTTTCATAAATGCGGTAGATGGATGCATTGCCAGATTAGACTTTCGCAAGGGTACAATACCACCGTTGGTTCTTATGGCAACAATTGTGCCCAAGCAGATTGTCTACCTCTTCGTTGCAAATATGCCGAGATGTTGCATGATGTTGCTAGGTGTCTCATCCATTCATCGATTCTAGGGGGTATGTGTGGGAACCTGCAGGATCGTCAACTATCAGTTCGATGTGGAAAAGCCACCATTTTGTAGATCATTTTCCGGTGAAAATTCCCTGGCTTTTCCACAGCTGACGGGTATAGGGCGTTTACGTCTTTGGGAAACGTCTTTTTAAGTTTCCCCCAGCCGCGGCTTGGTTTTCTTGATCTTTCTGGATCCTTTCTGGATCTAATTTGGCAGGTGGCTTCCATGGTCCACTGAATCTGGATCACACCCTGCACCCAGGATTTGTGTGGAGATCATGTGGAACCTGCCCTTTGAAGAGATCCGAATGGGCGCCGAGAACTACAACAGAACCTCGGCCCTTTAGCAGTTGTTTTTTTCGTTGATATAGCAGGAAAAGGCTATGATGAAGATGGTGAACATCTGATAATTATACCAATTTCAAACCGAAACATGATAAGGTCTGAGAAATCTTGGGATTTTGACGCTCCCTATTTTCAGACAAAGCCATCTGAAAATCAACAAACTGGCTTCGCGTTGACCTCAGGTTTCGAAGCCAACACTGTCTAACCAGCAGCCTTTGGCGGATGTTTTCAGCAAAAGTGGAAGCAAACGTTCATGGAACATCGGCATTCTACATAGTGATCTCACAAGCGAAACGCATATCAATGCAGCATTGGTCATATAGCATCATATAGTAACCACCAAAAGATTTCAAAGAACAAACATGAACAGCCGATCCTAAAATGATCCCATCCGCCCAATATAAGAGACCCCAAAATGAAGACTTGGTTCAGTATTGGTTCTATTCACTTCGGGTGCCTTATAGGTGTATTTAATATGTGATTGGATGTAAATCTTAATGTCAGGATGGTTAGACCATGTGAAAATTTTTGATTATTGAATTATGTTAAATACCAAATTTGATTGGTCAAAAGTGAAATCCCAATGTTTGATGGTTAATTTTTATTTGTTGATGGTAAACTCTAACTCTTTAAGAAGTCTACATCTTTTCTACCCTGCCTCATCCATAGATGTTAGATCGTCAATCTCCTCGCCCTGAGGCAGTTATATGAGATTTACCAAGCTTTGCGCCTGGGCAAGTCAAACAAACGAATGAAACCATCATTAATGATGTAGTTTTCAGTAAGTTTCAAGACTGAAATTCAGTAAATTCAGTAAGTTTCAGTCAAAACTACATCATTAAAGAGTAAATAATTCAAGGCTTTGTGCGGATTTCAATGGTAAAGTATTCTGTTCTGGTATCATTTTTTTGTTGGAAAGGACGCTTTTCCGGTGCTAAGTGATACCTGAGACCCAAAGTTTTAGGTGATCATCTTGAACAGCGCTGGTGAAGAACTTGGAAGTGATAGTGGGTTACAGCAGGGCCCCAGACTGTTTGATTGTTCGCCTTTGGAACAATGAGGAACATGATGAATATAAATCATATTTGGATATCCCATCCCAGCATTTTGTTTACAGATTGCCCAGGGTTTGCCATGCATCAGTACCATAATAAATAAATGGTCAAGACTGAGATTCAGCAGGGGGCGCTTGGGAGAGCATTCTGCAGACATGGGGCATATGCAAACATTCCATGCATGGAGCACTTACCCTCCTGTAACTGTGGAAAACCCACCACTTGTAGATCATTTTAGGCTTTCCCCCATGGCTTTTCCACATCCAAAAAGTGGTTTTCCGCGGGTTGTGAGCTTGCGATCCTGCAGCTGTTGATAGCTGTTGGCATGTGCAAACAAGACATACTCGTACCTGAGAAGGCCATCTGACAAGGCACGCCCTGGCAGGAAGAAACATATTTTTCCATATTTTTCCCCATCTATCCTACACTATGAACTATGACTCTACAGATTGCCACAGACCATTTCCGGCCTCGCCATTAGCAACTGTAGTATCCCCCTAAAAATTAATCTATAAATGAGCGGAAAAACAATCTCATGACTCACTCCCATTCCCATCATTCATTGGACCATTTATGGGCTAAATGGATAAATCCTTATGCCTTATTGTATTGTTGATGGTTTAATCCTAATTTTGGTCGGTGACATCCCCAACTGATGTTTTTTCCTCAATCCCCCCAAAATCCCTTTGACAATGGACGATTTTGAGATCATGTTCATTGATTTACCTAATTACTGTAAATCATATTGAGTCCTGTTTTTCTATAGGTAAGTCAGTTCCATATTTTTATATTATAGTCGGAAAAAAAAACTATATGCAAAAGGGATGGCAAAGGCTGTGTTTTGGGGCCATCCTGCAAAGACTGGTTGGTGGTTTGGAACATGTTTTATTTTTCCGTTCAGTTGGGAATGTCATCATCCCAACTGACGAACTCCGTCATTTTTCAGAGTGGTAGATCTACCACCAACCAGATTGCTATTAACCATCATTAGCCATATAATAGCCATATATTAATCAACCATTATTAAGAGTATATGAATCACATATTAACAGTATATTAACCAGGTGATATATATATAGCTAATATACTGTTAATAATGTGATTAATATACTGTTAATAATGTGATTAACCAGTAATTAACCAGTATATTAACCATTATGAACCACGGTGTCAGTGTTCCAAGCGAGGTGCCAGCTATTGGCTCACCTGGTCCAAGACCGTGGACCGATGGTGTCGCTTCTGGCTACCGCGCCTGGACCGAAAACGGGATGGGGTGGACGTGGGGAAACCCGTCATGTGGACGTGGCTTATTTGGCTTGGGGAAACCCTGGGGAAACCCGTCATTCATCTAATGTCATCTAAGTATAACATAGTATAACTATAACTACAATGTGGTGCCCCCCAGTGATGTTTGTTGGTTTAGATTCGCCCCAGTAACTAGTTCGTTATTTGCGTACCATAAACCATAGTGAAATTGGAGTTATGTTCACCAACTGAACGCTATCGAACGGGGGCCCATAACCATTGTATCTATAACTACCAGGTTGACCCCAGTTCCCGGCAAGTTATTTCCAGCAAGTTGATCTGAAAATCCCCTGCGAGCGGCCGGATGTGTAAGCCCTGATGTACAACCCCATATCCTTACTTTATCTTATCAATATTATGTTATAAATGAGGTAGGTATCCATCCCCAGATTTTATTTTATCTGATACTAGTATCAGGTTATTTTAGTTTGTCTTATTTGTCTATCAATTAATTGTGTATTAATGTAAATATACGGAAAAAGAGACTAATAGACCAGTAGACGCATGTTTGCATGGAAAAAATGATAACTTGATACTTTGGATAGACATTCACATTTATATGCAAATGTGTGCTTACACTTGTGCAAAAGCACATTTATATAAATACGTATGCAGATGAAATGACATAGGTGCAATCATTTACGCATATACACGCAGGTGATAAGGGGTTTTTACCCCTTCCCATTGTTATGTTCGAAATGCTGGTTGTCAGAAAGGACCCCCCAAGAAAAGGTTAAACACGCTGAGGATGTGTTTCACAGTGGCGCTGGGGATTTTATTCAACTTGGAGCTTCAAGATGAATCTTGGTCTGGGGGCTGCCAGATTTGGGGTGTTTCATGGAGATATCGTTCATGGTACAGACGTATGTATGCTATATATATATGATAATATAATATATATATACACAAAAGGTGACAGGACGTGTAATATAAGAACCTGTATAGATACATATCACATTTGATATCTGTATATTTTTGTATATATATATGTATATGTGTGTGTGTGAGTTAACGGGTTTGTTTACATATTAGACATGTACTCGTACATCTATGTGCCCATGATATGTTCGGCCTCCATATATTATCATTATCTTTTGTGGGTCAGACATCTGAAGCACAGGCTGGATGAACCAGGTTAGAATCAGATTCTGGTTGAGTCTGGGTTGTTTTAGCCTGCTTTCTCTTTTCGCGAGATGTGTGGAATTTGGGCCACAAATCACTTGGGATGTTGGCAGAAGGTTTCGGGAGGCCCAACCTTTCTTAGTCTTTACAGGCCCTGTGTCTCACATGGTTCAATGAACTCCGCATGATAGATCTTTGTAATCCATACCTCTGGTGAACCTCCATTTATACCGTAGAGTTTCCCATTCAAACCTCCAGTTGCAGAGAATTGTCCAGCCAGCCACGTTTGATTCCTGGGGGGTAAGTGGATTAGCATCCCCATTAATTATTGATTCATAAATCCCTCTATAGATCCTCATACGCCATTAAATCCCATTATTATATATTAAATCTCATTAAAACGATGAAATCCCATTGGTCCCAGTGAACTCTAAAAACATGTTTTTCACACGCACCCTGCGCGGCCCGGTCTGGCGAGGAATATGCGACAAATCCCGCAGCGGAGATGTTTCAGGGATTTGGTCCATCGTACATGACCGTTGCTGGTGTTGCTTGGCACTGCCTTGTGGACTGGACCGTGGACTTTTCCGGTTGTGATTGAAGATTCCTGAGTGGCTGCATGAAGATTCCTTTGCGGAAAAATCTTCAGAAATTTAAGCCAATGAAGAAAAATCCCATCTGGATCCATTTCTGTTGCAGCTGGTTGCAGGCGGTTTTCTATGTTTCAAAACATATGATTATTACTTTATGTTTATCTTTATTATTAGTATTTATTATGAATTGTATTTTTTGTACTGGTATTTATGTTTATAATGGTATAGTATTTTATCATTATTACATGTAACCAGTTGGCATTGGCATTAGTTGGCTATGTGTTTGTTGCCGAAGGGAACGAATGGAGTGATTGGACAAATGATGTGAATGCAGACGTGCGACAGTATCAGATGCCCGTTGAATGACATGGTCATGGTTTGTGGCAGCAAGTGGGTGAGACATGCTGAGACAACCTCATAGAAATCGCACAGACCAGTGTGAGATATTGTGAGTTAGACACGCGATGAGTAGCGTCCTTCGCAGTCGAAGTGGCTCTTAACAGATGCGAGTCGCTGTGGCGATATACTTTACGTACGTTTCTTTCGCACATGGTATAGTTGGAGGGCGCCATTAGCCATTCCTTACTAATCGAGAACTACTGCAAGGGTATCCGTTGGTATATCAGTTAGCGGTATTTGGCATGTATTGGCAATATTTTCGGTATATTTTGATCGGCAACTTGGTATCCTTTGGTAAACTAACATAACTATGGAAAATCACCATGTTCAATGGGAAAATTCACTATTTCTATGGCCATTTCAATACAAGCTATTTTGACATAACCAGAGGGTAGCGGTATATCAATTACCAATGGTCAACGGTGATTGCCACCATGGGCCCACGCTCACAATTTTGCCCCTGCCTGGTGAGCATCAATTAGGCGAAAATGTACGCTGTCGCGAAAATGTCAACGTGGAAAGTAACTGGCACGGTTGAATGAATTAATTATAACTGTGCATAATGTATTTATTATTAACGTTAAATATCGTTTAATACTTTGATTAGTATTAGTTAGTATTAACGTATTAATTAGTTAAGTATACTGATTGATTACGGTTAAATAAATCCTGCAACTTCCCATACTAATTAATACGAATTAATAACTAATTATATAGGATGAATTACGGCTTTGTTCGGCGGAAGCCACGGCGAAAGTATCCACCAAAATGGCATCGCAAAAGTGAAATCATTGCGCACGAAAGCAATGGCGAAAGGAGAGGAGCACAACCCTTTTGGCACCATATTTTTGACGCCGATCAGGTGAGGGTCGCGTGATCTCTCGGCCCTCAAGGGATCCCAGAATGGACCGGAACTCTATGCCAGATAAAATGCCAGAATATGCACATGTCGGATAATTTGTCATATGTCAAATAGATTGCCAGATAACACGAGATTAATCTCGGAAAGTATGTCAGCTAAACCTACAGTATGGGGATATCTGAGAGAGATGTCGGAAAGGATGCCAGATAAAAGAAATCCAAATGTCGGAATATGCGTCCGATTGGTTAAATCCCAGATATAATGCCAATCAAAAATGCCAGACTATAATAGACTATCTACATATGTTGCATATGTCAGTTGCTTGGGAACAGAATTTTGATGTCTCGATCTTCACCCTGTCTGTACCAGGCCTAAACAGAAGGACTGGTTGGGTGAACGTGGTTTCTATATGCTTCAAGGATCTTCAAGGTGGTGGCCAGTTGTAGCTCATACAAAAACCAAAGTTGCTTTGTACATGTTCATATATCGTTTTTCACGGGTTTATGATGATTTTGCCTTGTCTGCTGTATAGAATTCGGAGGCTTTTCCAAGGTTAGCGTCGAAGATCTTGCTCAGGTCTTCCGCTCCCTCATCATGCCCTTCTTCGCAGTGATTTGCATTCTCGCTTGGCTGTACATGAGGAAGCAAGCACAGCCCCTCGGGTCTCGATTCTGCAACTCAGTGAAAGGATGCAAAGGGAATGGGAATATTGCTATATATTGACTGCTGATCTCCCGAGTTGGCGAAGGTGAGAGAGAGAGAGAGAGAAAGAAAGAAAGAAAGAAAATAGTGTAAATTATTATCCCGCTATTAAATTATATAATTAATTACATCAATACATGCATGCATGCATGGATGCATACATGCACACAACCATACATCCAATACATCATCCATACTAATACCAATGCTAATGCTAATGCCAAGACCAACACTGAAACTAATACAGTCAAGGGTCAAAGTCGTGGCGATTCTTTGCTTTTGAGTCCATACCATTGGGCGAAGCTTTTCAGGGGGGTCGTAGCGATTGTGGCTGTGCCTATGAGATTTGCAGTGATTTGTTGAATCGTTTTAGAGGCTTTTGTGGGTCAAATCCATGTATTTCCGTTGGGTTCTTGGATGACCATACAAGTGCCCGGTTTAAGTCGTATCAGTTTCTGAAAGTCGTATCGGGAGGCCGTGCGCCTGGAAAAAGTTCAAGTTTCGCATCATCACAACTTTTAGTAATTGAACGATTTCATTGTTTTAGGGCCGTGCGCCTGGAAAAAGTTCAATTTTTAGTATCGCGTTGATTTTTAAAGCTTATATTTGTTCATTCTTTCAAGGGGGTAAACGCTGGTTGCTGCTTGCTTGCTTGCTTCTTGCCTGCTGCTTGCTGCTGCTTGCTGCTGCTGCTTGCTTGCCTGGGTGGATAGGACAACAAACTTTCTGCACAATGCTAATGCCAATAGTAATACTAATACCAACATTACATTCACATTTACATTGCATTACATTACACTGCACTGCACTGCACTCACTACACTACACTACGCTACTCTACGCTATGCTACGCTACACTACACTACACTAACACACAAACACATGCATACATGCATGCATGCATACATACATTACATCTACATTTACATCTACATTTACATCTACATTTACATCTACATTTACATCTACATTTACATCTACATTTACATCTACATTTACATCTACATTACATTACATACATATGTAGATACATACCATACCATACTATACCATACTATACCATACTATACCTACATCAATACCATGCATACATGCATACATGCATACATCCAGACATACATACACATACACATACACAGATACACACATACACACATACACACATACACACATACACACATACACACCTACACACCTACACACATACACACATACACACATACACACATACACACATACACACACATGCACACATGCACACACATGCACACATGCAGACATACATACATGCATACATGCATACATTACATGCATACATTACATGCATACATTACATGCATACATTACATGCATACATGCACACATGCACACATGCACACATACACACATACACACATACACACATACCCACATACCCACATACACACATACACACATACACACATACACACATACACACATACTTACATACACACCTACACACATACACACATACACACATACCCACATACACACATACACACATACACACATCCACACATACACACATACACACCTACACACATACACACATACACACATACACACATACACATATACACACATGCATACATCATATATACATGCATGCATGCATGCGTGAATGCATACATACATACATACATACATACAGAATTACCTACATACGTACGTACATACATACGTACGTACATACATACATAGATAAATACATACACACGTACGTACACATAGGTACATAAATACATAGATACAAAGATACATAGATACACAGATACATAGATACATAGATACATACATGCATACATACATGCATACCTACATACACATAGATACACATAGATACATAGATACATGCATACATAGATACATTAATACATTCATACATTCATACATGCATACATACATACATGCATACATACATGCTTACATACATACTTACATGTGAGTTGCGGTCACGGTCAAAATGGTTGAAGACCATTATATCATTTCAGAAGATAGAAACACTTTTGTCAGAGATGTGCACAAAACAGTGTAAAGCGATATGTCCCAAGAAAAATCGGTGACCGATGATAGCAACCACTGAGATGTAAAGCATTTTGCCGGGAACTCATATGGAGGAGAGGGGAAAATGGAAATTCGCCCTGCGGGCATTGACGCCAACAGTTCAGGTCTGTAATGTAACGTGACAGGGGTATCCAATCATCTCCTGATGATGGTTATATTTTAAGGCCAATACTTAGATGAGAATGTGATTGGAACCCGCAAAAAAAATAGAAGTGAATGGAATTGGACCCGCCAGGTTTTACATCCCAGTTATATAGTACGTAAACTGATTGCATAACCCATATACAATAATATACAACTAGGGATATTCCACGCACGTATGATCCAAGTTCTTTGGATTATCCAAAATGGAGTCAGCAATGTGACCCAAACTTGTTTGCAAACAGTTTCATTTTTGCAACTAGCCTCAGCAAGGCTTCCCAAACTGAATAGATCCATTGCATTGCGCCAAATCTTCGCTTGGAAGAGTATTTAGCTTATAGGCAGAACGGCAGATCGACATCTCAAGTGTCAAGTCTGGAGGATTTATTGACCTTGGAGATATGAGGAAGACCAATCGGATGCCAATCGGATTGGGCCGATCGGATTCGCCACCAAAAAGTCTCAGCCCAATCCTCCCAATCCTCACCTGTCACCGAGGAAGCAGAAAATCACGAAGGAAGTGACCCCTGAACCGGACCTCAAGCCGATTGTACCACGCCCGGGGCCCCGAACGGAGGATCCACAGTGATGGCCCTATAATGCCCTATAGCAATCTATAGCAGGTATAAGTTAATGACCCCATTGATGGTTGATAGCCCCATTTAGAACCATACAAATCAGTGGTTCCTAGGGCTTCCACTGGAGGATCCGGACCTTGAACATGATTTTCACAAATATCTCGATTTGATTCGTGGCTTGGGATTCGAAGCCCGCGGAAAAAAATGACCATAAGAACGACCATGAGAATATGCAGCAATTTCGAGGATACGCCATACCATGTCCTTACAAGGATGTTTTTGAATATGTTTTTTTTTTTTTAATATGCAAAGATACGGGCAGGTGGCTGTCAGTTGTTTTGGTATCGGCATATGCATTTTTGTATATATGATATTATAATCATTGTTTGTCATTAGTGTGTTCTCAACAGTTGTTACTGTTGATTTTCAAGTATGACATACGTGCATTCTTGCATCACACTTGGCTAGCAAATATTTTTTGACGATCACGTATTGGAGGGATAGCTTATCCACGAAAAGCTACTATCTTTTGTTCCACTCATCCCCATCTCTGCTGCTCATGTCCTAACATCCCCATGTTGTAAAGCCCAAAATATGTGTTCACCTCCATGCCCACGATGATCCCAAATTGACTCGTTTTTTTTGAGTTGAAACCATTGAGCAGTCTGGGCAGCTATCCTCATTGACGTCACAGGTTGGTCTGTACAACAAGCGAAAGTGACTCCAGCCGTCATGGAAGACGTGGAAGATTGAGGTGGGATCCCTGCGCATTGCATTTTGGGAGAGGTGTTGGAATGTTAAGTACCCGTATAAGAGTGTTGGTTTATACAAGTTTATACCACCCATGAAGATGGTAATTAGGAATGGTTTACTATTGCTATACTGACATTGGAGCGGGTTGCAGGACATTGGAAATTTGAATGTTTCATTTTTTTTTGTGCGGTGCTTGGGTCCGCGAACTTAGGATCTCAAAACAAGGAACTATAATTTGAATCTCACAGAGTTCTATAGTTATATACAGTAGGTGTCTCATGGTTTTTCATCTATATATATATATATGTTAATCTATGTTCCCCTTGTTTGTACTTCCGTGCGTTCAAGGTTTCTTTCCTGAAACCTCTCCCGCTTCACGAAGACAGAAGATGTGCATGTTTGAAAATGGAACATACCATCAAATGGCCATGTCATAGTAGAGAAAATAACTAGGTTTGACGTTTTTTGATGATCTTCGATGATTCACCCATTGCTTCAGGCTTTGGATGGGGATGGGGGATGAACCGCCAGTGATTCAGTTACCAAAGGGTACAGTTATGGCCATTTATTAGTTATAACTGGTTACAACTGGTATGGGTAATTATAACTGGGATTATACATTGTCGAAAGAAGTTCAGAGAAGTCAAACTTCCGACAATATGAACAGATGAAAAAGCAGAGGTGGGAAGAGTCAGAGAAGGAGAAGAGAAGAGAAGAAGAAAGAAGATCAGAGAAGAGAACGAGTCAGAAGAAAGAAGATGCAGGCGGGCGAAAAGGTAGAAAAGTGGCGAATCACTGTGTTTTTTCCAATGATTTGTGACTCCGGAGGGTCGAAAAGTAGGCTCGCTAAAGCGGCTGGTGCGAAGCCATCTGGCCAGATGAGAGATGAAAAATAGAAGAAGCACACCATTCTCGGAGCACTTTTGGAAGTTGAGATGTCGAAAAAGGACACGCCGTTGTGGCGCGAAGCACATTTCGAAGTCAAACTGTGCAAAGCACCTCATGTCCGGAGCACTTTTGGAAGTCGAAAAAGTGCACGCCGTTGTGAGCACATTTCCATGAGTGTTAAAAACCGACGGTCTCGAACCACTTGGACGTTCAGATGTCGTTTCGTGTGGCAGGCGCAAGGGATTTTTGCACCTTGTCAAAAGTGAGCAAAACGTGAGGGTTTTTTTGCAGTTTCAACAGCGTTGCCAGGCGTGGGACTTTCGAAGAGGATCTGTAAGAATGCATTTTCCGTGGCAGGCGCAGTACAAGAGACATGTTCAACAGAGATGTTAGAAGGTCAGGGCTGATTTCCTGAGAGGGGTTACATTTTGGTGCATCAGACCGTCAGGTTTGCTAAGATGATTTTGCGTGACAGGTGCAGCACTTCGTATGACTTGGCATCACGTTTTTGTGGCAGGCGCAATCTTTAGATAAGTGGAGTGGAACAGAAATCAAAATGCATTGGTACGAGGCCGTCAGCTCTGCACTCAATTCCATTTTTGAAGGAAGTCTCGCAGAATTGCTTCGTTTTTGATGCTGTCAACTTCGAATATTGAGGAAGTCTCGCAGAATTGCTTCGTTTTTGACGTTGTGTCGCAGAATTGCTGCGATTTCGATGTCGTCAAGTTTAGAAATTGAGCACGCCTCGCAGAATAGCTGCGTTTTCAATCTTGCAGATAGATAGACAGATACAACCACAACTACCACTACCATTACTATTACTACTACTACTACTACTGCTACTACTACTACTACTGCTACTACTACTACTACTACTACTACTACTACTACTACTACTACTACTTACTACTACTACTACTCCTACTACTCCTACTACTCCTACTCCTACTCCTACTCCTACTACTCCTATTTCTACGGCTACTGCTACTGCTACTACTACTACTGCTACTACTACTACTACTACTACTACTACTACTACTATTCCTACTACACCTACTACACCCACTACACCTACTACACCTACTACACCTACTACACCTACTACACCTACTACACCTACTACACCTACTACACCTACTACACCTACTACACCTACTACACCTACTACGCCTACTACACCTACTACACCTACTACACCTACTACACCTACTACACCTACTACACCTACTACACCTACTACACCTACTACACCTACTACACCTACTGCACCTACTACACCTACTACACCTACTACACCTACTACACCTACTACACCTACTACACCTACTACACCTACTACACCTACTACACCTACTCCACCTACTACACCTACTACACCTACTACACCTACTACACCTACTACACCTACTACACCTACTACACCTACTACACCTACTACACCTACTACACCTACTACACTTACTACACCTACTACACCTACTACACCTACTACACCTACTACACCTACTACACCTACTATACCTACTATACCTACTATACCTACTACACCTACTACCTACTACCTACTACCTACTACCTACTACCTACTACTTGTACCTACTACCTACTACCTACTACTACGACTACTATGACTACTACGACTACTACGGCTACTACGACTACTACGACTACTACGACGACGACGATGACTACTACTACTACTACAACTCTACTACTACTACTACTACTATTACTACTACTACTACTACAACAACAACAACAACTCTACTACTACTACTACTACTATTACTACTACTACTACTGCTGCTGCACAACTCTACTACTACTACTACTACTACTATTACTACTACTACTACTACAACAACAACAACAACTCTACTACTACTACTACTATTACTACTACTACTACTGCTGCTGCTGCTACTGCTACTGCTACTACCACTACCTGCTACCACTACCTACTACCTACTACCTACTACCTACTACCTACTACCTACTACCTACTACCTACTACCTACTACCTACTACCTACTACCACTACCTACTACCACTACCTACTACCACTACCTACTACCACTACCTACTACCTACTACCACTACCTACTACCTACTACCACTACCTACTACCACTACCTACTACCACTACCTACTACCACTACCTACTACCACTACTACCACTACTACCACTACTACCACTACTACCACTACTACCACTACTACCACTACTACCACTACTACCACTACTACCACTACTACCACTACTACCACTACTAACCACTACTACCACTACTACCACTACTACCACTACTACCACTACTACCACTACTACCACTACTACCACTACTACCACTACTACCACTACTACCACTACTACCACTACTACCACTACTACCACTACTACCTACTACCTACTACCTACTACCTACTACCTACTACCTACTACTACTACCTACCACCACCACCACCACCACTACTGCTGCTACTGCTACTACGACTACTGCTACTACTACTTCTACTACTGCTTCTACTACTACTACTTCTTCTTCTTCTACTACTACTACTACTGCTACTGCTACTGCTACTGCTACTCCTCTTACTACTACTACTACTGCTGCTACTACTACTACTACTACCACCACCACCTACTACCTACTAGCTACTAGCTACTGGCCACTGGCTACTGGCTACTGGCTACTGGCTACTGGCTACTGGCTACTGGCTACTGGCTACTGGCTACTAGCTACTAACTACTAACTACTACCACTACCGCCACCGCCACCACCACCACCACCACAGCTACAATTACAATTACAGCTACACTACGTACATTACACTAAAATACACTAATTAAATTGCAGCACAGTGCAGCTACAAATACAACTACAACTACAGCACACAACTACACTACACTACACTAATTACATTACATTACGCTGCAACTGCAACTACCACTACATTGCACTACACGACACTACACAACATCTACAGCTACACTACTTTGCACTACAACACACTAGACTACACTACACTATACCACGCTACAGTACACAACACTACAGTACACTACAATACACTACACTAATTACACCACACCACAACTACAACTGCAACTGCAACTATATACACTAATTACACTACATTACAACTACAACTTACAACTACAACTCCACTACACTACAACTACAGCTACGCCTACAACTACAACTGCACTACACCACACTACATCCAGCAGTTGTGGTGAGGTGACACTGCAGCCATTGCAACCACTCCAAAAAACACAACTCCAACCACCTTTCGGTCCATCAGTGGATTCGCTCTGCCATCCGTGAGTCACAATAACCAACCCCTCTTATAGGATTCATATTTTTGAAACTTTCGCCATCGCCTTGTCCGGTCCTACTGGTATGATAGAATAATGCAATATGAAATTATGTAGTATACATTTATTATATTATAGACCAGCGGAATGGTGAGAGGTTGATCATGTCCCAGATTCTTAAAGGGCCATATGATCCATACGCCATAATATAGTTTGTTCAGGGCAGCTGTGCTTGCACACCGAATGCCACATTGGGCATGGTCCTCAGTACTGCACGGGGTAAAGTATGGTGTGGCAGTACCATTGAGCACCTTTCAGGATGGAATTTTTGTTTTGTCCGGAAGCCACTGCAAGGTCTTCGTCACTCACATTCCCCGGTCCCTCAAAAAACCAGAAAGCACTTCCCCGCATGTGAAACGTTTGTTTGAATCTTTTCCATATATGGCGCAGCCACGACATGCCAAACGGTATGCATGATTGGCTATGATTGCCAATTGTCATCCAATCCAATGTCCAGTTGCTCAAGACTCTTGAGCCAAAGTGTCCCCGTTTGTCAGTCAAGAATTGCCTTTGCCAAAGTTGCAAATGGCAGGATTCAAGCAGTTCTTTGGGAAGGCTGAATCCTATTTTGCAGGAGCTCCCAGTCCCAGTGCAAGCTTCAAGAGGAAGAAGAGGAGTATCAACCCAGTCGCTCTAGTTTTGATCTTAAATTTGAGTTGGTTTGAAAGGCAAACGTTTTACCATTTGCTCGTGCCAGTTTGTTTTTCTTGGAATTTCCATGTTTCCATCCACGACCAAGGCAATTGTGGTGTTCTTTGCAGCCACGACCGCACACCCACAGAACAGCAAAGTACATCCTTTTTTTCTCTTTGTTGCTGGTTCTGGCTGCCTGAGCAGCACTGTCTAGGCATCTACTTGTCCCCGAATACTTTTCCGCACCCTGAGCAGCCGGCATGTTGTTCTCCGAAGAGAGAGCCTGGTCATCTTCAGGAAGTCCAAAGAATAGGTGCAAAAGAGCTTTTCACAGTACTGCCTATGACCACATCAAAACAAAACATGCGCCAAAACACGCAAAAGCCAAAGACGGTTTCAGGGTGTTGTGTGACTCCTAGCGCTCCTGATCGCTCCTAGCAGGTGCCCACCCGGTCATCTACAAATCCGATTTCATGTCGTACTATTACTCCGCTCCTGCTTCAAATGTGGCCGTGTTCAACCTCTTCAAGCAGGAGATCGAACGCATCAAACTGGCAGCTTCCGATCATGTCACAGTGGAGCTCCAAGTTCCAAGCAATGGCCGAATTTCAAGTCCAACCGGTTCAACCGGTTCCGGTGGATCCGGTGGATCCTCAGGACCATATTATGATTTCGTCTCTGCCAGATTACGGGTGAAAGATCCATCTTCATCCTACACCAAAGCAATGTTATTGACAGCGCATTTTGATTCAGTTGTCCCAGAAGGTGTCAGCGAATCGGAAGATGCTCTTGGTTCGATGGGTGAAGGAATGTCTGACGATGCTGTGGGTTGCGCGGTGGTTCTGGAAACTTTCCGTGTTTTGGCTACTGCTTCTGAGCCTCCACTGGTTGATGTCATTTTGTTGTTGACGAATGGAGAGGAGGTGAATTATCTTGGACTCGATTCCTTTATGGCTTCAAGTCCATGGGCTGCTGATGTGGGCTTCTTTGTCCAGATGGATCAGAGTGGTTCGCGAGGTCATGCACTAGCAGTCTTTGGAGATAGGGAATCAGGCGTGGCTTTTGAAGGCTAAAAGTCCGTACTGATCGGTACTTAGACATTATTTGGCTTAATTATTATAGTTCAGACATGTCGATTAAAGATTATAAATTATTAATGTCTATCATAATGTGGTAATAGTGCATGCATTTCAAACGATTGAAGTGCTGACATGTCAAGTTGACAACTGTGCTGCAACATGCAGCAACAAAGATCCTCAACAAAACGAACAAACGTTGGCAAAATAGGTGAAAAGGCTGCTGCCTTCGCATATCATGCTGGAGCCGTGCATCCGCATACGAGTGTGCTGCTGCGTGATTTTCAACCTTGGGAAGACATGAACACGGACGGTTCAAGACTCAGAGCTAGCTATGGTGTGCCTGGCATTGGTATGTACATGATGGAAGACCGCTGTCCCTACCATACAGTCTATGATGATCTCAGCCACATCATTCGAGGGAATTTGCAAGCTCATGGAAACAACTTTGTTGGAGTCAGCCGTGCTGTGACAAGGAATGAAGCTATTTTGGATATGTGGGCGAAAAGTGATTCGGATCCTTCTGGGGATGCTTACACTATTGACTTGCTATCGTCTTCCATGTTGCTGCTGACTCCTGCCACCATGGCAGTCCTCTATAGCCTTTTAGGCATTTCTGTCATTGCAGTGGTTTGTGTTGTGGCATTCATGGAGCCACAAGGCCGAACAACAGCATTGGTAGACTTGAGCTTGCTTGCTTGTGCTCATGTAGCTTCCATTGGAGCAGGCTTGGTGGTGACCTTTGTTCTCGCCTTCTGTGTGGGCGCCAATTTTGGCTACTGGTACCGCCGGGATGGCATGGCAGTTTGGCTTTACATATTTCCCAGTCTATGTGTGCAGCTTTCGTTTGGTCGACTTCTGCTTTTTAAACGATTCTATGGAGTTTCTGCTGAATTCATTCAGTGGCGCTCCAGCACGGCAGCGGTCATACTTCTCTTACTGCTTACATTGCTTCTGGCAATGGCAGGCTTGCACATGTCCTTGCTCTTCGGTATGTGTGCGTTGACCCGCCTTGCAGGTTTCTTGCTTCGCATTGGAATCGGGTTCATCGCGCAACGGGCCAAAAAAGAATCCGTTGCCAACAAACCAGACGCATGGCCGGCTTGGCTTGGGATCACCTCAGAGCTTACATTGGCATCACTGGGCTCAATCTACTTGCTCGATGCAATGCGTTTTGCTGTGTTGAACTTTACTACGAGTTTGGGCCAAGAGGGAGCAATACTTCCAGGCGATTTAACTTTGGCCCTTTACGTTGGACTTTTCGGTTCCTCTGCCATTTTACAGAGCAGTGGTGTGCAGGTGCCTGGGCTTTGCACACCTTAGATGTAGACGGGGTGAAAGGGAATTGCAAGAAAGAGTAGCGGGTTGACAGCGCATAGTTTCCGCCTCAAGTTTTCGGCCAACATTCTGGTTTCCCAACATTGCTCATCAGCCAACAGGTGTGTGGACTTCCAATTTTGTTGTGCAGAGGCTTGCAGTTTGTTTTCGGGTGCAACCCCTATCAAAACAAAAAACAAACCACATAATTATGTCAATGTAGGTCAAGACGGCGGAAGGCAGTCCATCAGAGTCTATTTAATGGGCATTTGAGAAACACTAGATGCAGCAAGCTTGGTCACAGCATACTTTGTTTTCCTGTGCCGGATACCCTCAACATATTGAACGTTGAGACGGGACAAACATCAGTCTTTAGTGATATAATGTTGGTGTATAATGCTATAAAAGGGCTAACGCCCTGTTGCCGCCGACCCCCCTTTGGTGGGAGTCCAGCCGCTCCTTAGTTTTGGCATGGTGGGTTCCAAGGAGTGCAGGGCATAACAGGAGTATCAGAGCTACTCATCCTTTTGCATGTCAGCAACTCAGAATTCGGAGGCGTCTAGATTTTGTACATTAATGCTTGAGCCCAGAAAAGCATCTAAACATACCCAAACATGCACAGGAGTTGGACTAGATGGACGATTTCCAGTGCATAACGGAATCAGGGGCTTTTACATGCTTTTACAATCGTTGGAGTATATTGATAGTTAGAATCCCATTATTGCTATTGTAATTTGGGGTACTTTCCCACTCGACAGTCTGATGCCTAGTGTTGGGCACTGTTGGTCACAAGGCTGGGCCCAGGAGAGCCAACAGTGCCAGACGGCAGTTTCGAACTCATTAAAGATACAGGACCAGGCAGCTAAGAAGGCTGGAGTAAGGCAAGGATAGAACCAAAACTGGCTTGTTGAGGCTTAAAAGCTTTTGAGGCTTTTCGGCTGGGCCTAGTAGAAAACCAAAAGTGCCAGACGGCAGTTTCGAAACCCCTTTCAAGCCTTTAAAGATACAAGACCAGCCAGCTTAGAAGGCTGGAGGCTTCTAACGCTTTTCGAGGCTGGGCCTAGTAGAACCAAAAGTGCCAGACGGCAGCTTCGAACCCCTTAAAGATACAAGACCAGGCAGCTTAGAAGGCTGGAGGCTTCTAACGCTTTTCGAGGCTGGGCCTAGTAGAACTTGCAAAAGTGCTAGATGGCAGTTTCGAAACCCCTTTCAAGCCTTTAAAGATACAAGACCAGCCAGCTTAGAAGGCTGGAGGCTCTTAACGCTTTTCGAGGCTGGGCCTAGTAGAACCAAAAGTGCTAGACAGCAGTTTCGAAACCCCTGAAAGATACAAGACCAGGCAGCTTAGAAGGCTGGAGGCTTTTAACGCTTTTCGAGGCTAGGCCTAGTAGAACCAAAAGTGCGAGACGGCAGTTTCGAAACCCCTTTCAAGCCTTTAAAGATACAAGACCAGCCAGCTTAGAAGGCTGGAGGCTTTTAACGCTTTTCGAGGCTGGGCCTAGTAGAACCAAAAGTGCTAGACAGCAGTTTCGAAACCCCTGAAAGATACAAGACCAGGCAGCTTAGAAGGCTGGAGGCTTTTAACGCTTTTCAAGGCTAGGCCCAGGCTAGGCGTACCAGAACCAAAAGTGCTAGATAGCAGTTTCGAAACCCAGGCAATTTGAAAACCAAGGAAGCCAGGCGCAAGTGGTACGAAGCATGGGCGATCAATCGGAAAACCCGATTTGTGAAATTGCTTGACAATTTGCCGATGTGACCCAGAGAATAGAAAAATAATGAATGATGCAGAATCCCAGCGTTGACATGCAGGTTGCACACGAGAATGACATTATAAGAGAGTAGAAAATCAATATTTTCATCAGTCGCGTTCCATTGTGTTTCGTGTGTTTTTTTTACTGTCTGAAATGCATGGTTACACTTTTACTGAGGACAGCGTTCCATGCAGAAAAGCATTTAGGCATGACTTTGGCATGACTTCTTGGATACAGCGTTTACAATGGCAAATGCCATTCAAAAACACACTAGGCATGACTTAGGCGTGACATTGTTTGTCGTTTCCCTGTAGCCGGCAAAAGAAGGTGAAGCAAGGGCTGGGCCTGATAGAACCAAAACTGGCTTTTTGAAGTTTGATTGCTTCTAAGGCTTTTCGAGGCTGGGCCTAGTAGAACCAAAAGTGCCAGACGGCAGTTTCGAAGCCCCTTAAAGATACAAGACCAGCCAGCTTAGAAGGCTGGTGGCTTTTAACGCTTTTCGAGGCTGGGCCTAGTAGAACCAAACGCGCTAGATGGCAGTTTCGAAACTGCTTACAGATACATAAATTATCAGGCAGCTTCGAGTGAGGCAAGGAGGCCCTAGCATGACAAAGAAAATGAGGCAAGGGCTGGGCCTAGTAGAACGCTTAGAAGGCTGGAGTGAGGCAAGCAGGCCCTAGCACGTCTTTGACGTTTCAAGGCTGGGCCTAATACAATCATAGAACTAAAAGTGCCAGACAGCAGTTTCGAAACCCATTAAAGATCAATGACCAGGCAGTTTGGAAGGCTGGGGGCTTTTAACGCTTTTCGAGGCTAGGCCCAGGCTAAGCCTACCAGAACCAAAAGTTTACAGGTACATAACCAGGCAGCTTAGAAGACTGGAGTGAGGCAAGGAGTTTCTAGCCGGCCAAAGAAGGTGAGTCAAGGGCTGGGCCTGATAGAACCAAAACTGGCTTTTTGAAGTTGGACTGCTTTTAAGGGTTTTCGAGGGCGGGGCCTAGTAGAACCAAAAGTGCCAGACGGCAGTTTCAAAACCCCTTGAAGATAAATGACTAGGCAGCTTAGAAAGCTGAAGTGAGGCAAGGAGGCCCTAGCTCGCCAAAGCAGGTGTGGGCCTAGTAGAACCAAAAGTGCCAGAAGGCAGGTTCGAAACATCTAAAGATACATGACCAGGCGGAGTGACGCAAGAAGGCCCTAGCAGGCCAAAGAAGGTGAGGCAACGCTGGGCCTGGCAGAAACAAAGCTGGCTTGTTGAGGTTTAAAAGCTTTTGAGGCTTTTCAAGGCTGGGCCTAGTAGAACCAAAAGTGCCTGACTGCAGTTTCCAAACCCCTTTCAAGATAAATGATCAGGCACCTTAGAAGGCTGGAGTGAGGCAAGGACGGCCGAGCACGCCAAAGAAGGTGAGGTAAGGGCTGTGCGCAGTAGAACCAAAACTGGCTTTTTGAAGGTTTCAAGGCTTTTAAAGATTTTCAAGGCCGGGCCTAGTAGAACCAAAAGTGCCAGACAGCAGTTTCGTAACTTCTTAAAGAGACATGACCAGCCAGCTGAGAAGGCTAGAGTGAGGCAACGAGGCCCTGGCACGCCAAAGAAGGTGAGGCAAGGGCTGGGCTTAGAGCCAAAACTTTGAAACTTCTTAGAGAGACATGACCAGGCAGCTTGGAAGGCTGGAGTGAGGCAAGGAAGTCCTAGCAGGCCAAAGAAGGTGAGGCAAGGGGTGGGCCTGATAGGACCAAAACTGGCTTGTTGAGGTTTGAAGGGTTTTAAGGCTTTCAAGGCTGGGCATAGTAGAGCCAAAAGTGCCAGACGGCAGTTTCGAATTCGTTGGGGATACATGACCAGGCAGCTTAGAAGGCTGGAGTGAGGCAAGGAGGCCCTAGCATGCCAAAGAAGGTGAGGCAAGGGATCAAACCAAAACTGGCTTTTTGAGGTTTTAAGTCGGCTTTTCGATTTTTTCAGAGCTGTTCCTAGTAGAACCAAAAGTGCCAGACGGCAGTTTCGAAACTTCTTCAAGAGACATGACCAGGTTAGAAGGCTGGAGTGAGGCAAGGAGGTCCTAGCAGGCCAAAGAAGGTGAGGCAATGGCTGGGCCTAGTAGAACCAAAACTGACTTTTTGTGAGGCTTTAAGGCTTTTAAAGCTTTTGGAGGCGTGGCCTGGTAGAACCCGAAGTGCCAGACGGCAGTTTCGAAAGGTCTTACAGAGACATGACCAGGCAGCTTGGAAGGCTGGAGTGCGGCAAGGAAGCCCTAGCAGGCCAAAGAAGGTGAGGCAACGGCTGGGCCTGATAGAACCAAAACTGGCTTGTTGAGGTTTGAAGGGTTTTAAGGCTTTCAAGGCTGGGCCTAGTAGGGCCAAAAGTGCCAGACGGCAGTTTCGAATTCGTTGAGGATACAGGAGGCTGGAGTGAGGCAAGGAGGCTCTAGCAGGCCAAAGAAGGTCAAAATTTGCTTTTTGAGGTTTTAAAGCTTTCAAAGCTTTTCAAGGCTAGAACCAAAAGTGCCAGACGGCGGTTTCGAAACTTCTTAGAGAGACATGACCAGGCAGCTTGGAAGGCTGGAGTGAGGCAAGGAAGCCTTAGCAGGCCAAAGAAGGTGAGGCAACGGCTGGGCCTGATAGGACCAAAACTGGTTTGTTGAGGTTTGAAGGGTTTTAAGGCTTTCAAGGCTGGGCCTAGTAGGGCCAAAAGTGCCAGACGGCAGTTTCGAATTCGTTGAGGATACAGGAGGCTGGAGTGAGGCAAGGAGGCTCTAGCAGGCCAAAGAAGGTCAAAATTTGCTTTTTGAGGTTTTAAAGCTTTCAAAGCTTTTCAAGGCTAGAACCAAAAGTGCCAGACGGCGGTTTCGAAACTTCTTAGAGAGACATGACCAGGCAGCTTGGAAGGCTGGAGTGAGGCAAGGAAGTCCTAGCAGGCCAAAGAAGGTGAGGCAACGGCTGGGCCTGATAGAATCAAAATTTGCTTTTTGAGGTTTTAAGGCTTTTAAGGCTTGTTGAGGCTGGGCCTAGTAGAACCGAAAGTGCCAGACAGCAGTTTTGACACCCCCTAAACCTTGCATGACCACGCAGCTTGAAGGTTGGAGCTAGCAGGCCAAAGAAGGCGAGGCAAGGGCTGGGCCGAGTAGAACCAAAATTGTCAGACAGCAGGTTCGAAACTTCTAAAGACACATGACCAGGCAGCGTGGAAAGCTGGAGTGAGGCAATGAGGTCCTAGCAGGCCAAAACCGCACACCTGCGGTGATCCCGGGCGCCACCCCGCCTAGGCCAAGGCTAGGCAGGGGTCGGCGGATATACTTCAGTTGATGCGCTTCGAAACCTCATGAAAGCTCCTCAACCAAGGTGCTGTCGACCAGATGCATTTTTGCTGGACACGTTCTAGTGATATCGCTCTTCGCCAGTTTTTGCCTGGTTGTAGCGGCATTTGTACTTCCTGTATATGATAAATACCCATGTGAAGTGCCCGGGGTACTGTGATCGGGACAATCGGTGCACAGTTGCAATGAACGCCAAAGGCGTCAACTTTGGAGTTATGTCTGTGAGCAAAAGGAACACCGAATTTCTGTTTTAATCTCTGTCCATTCTGATCGGCACTCATTTTTGCCCCGCAAAGTTTCTATTCAAATTGATTCACACATGGATTGCTCAGGGACTTGACAACCCTACCCTAAAACATCCAAAAACACATCATTTCAGAATCGAACTTCAAATAGGACGATCTTGCAGAAGGACTGACTAAAGAGACTGAAGTGTTAACCTTCGGCATGAAGCAAAAAATGAAAAACGTTGTCTATCAGAGTCTATTGACATCCAGGCGATCCATGGTCTCGGTTTTGGAGCCAGCTACGCCATGAGATGGTCTGAACCTGAGAATGGACTTGCGAAATGTTGTGATACCAGTACATATGTTCAATTACGTTGCATTCCAAATGGAATTCCAACAGGATGGGCATAGAGATTGTTCTGCCCCAAGCATTTGGAGACTGAGACTGAAAGTAGGAGCATTTAGATAATATAATATAATGTTGGCCTCTGATTAGTGTGAGGGGCCCCCCCCCTCAAACAATTTGAGTATACTGAATAAATCGCAGAAATTTTTGGCCCCCCCTCAACAAGTTTTGGGATTGTCAACTTAAGTAAGGATTTCAATTTACTTTCATTTGATTTCAATTTACTTTCAATTGATTTCAATTTACTTTCAATAAGGGTTTAAGAAGGCATCTAATTATTTGGAAAACCTTGCATTTTAAAGCTTTAACATAAATATGGTTTTCTAAAGTAAATGGACCAGCTTTACTCAAAGAAAGGTGGAGAAAACATTTTGTTTTTTTTTGTCAGTCCATCCAAACAATTATATTATTGAGGATCTGAGCCACTCATGAGTTACCTCCTTGAAAAGTTGTCTGGATGCTGTTTTTTTAATAAGGGTTTAATAAGGCATCTAATTATTTGGAAACCTTGCATTTTTGTCAAAATCTAGCAGTCATAACGCTGACAGCGATGTCATGCCCCAGCATACCAGCATGCATGTAGTAACTGTTCTTATCAGTGAGACAACTGATGAATCTGATTGCCGCTACAAGTGGCTTCAAGCTACAAGGTGGAAAAGGTAGCCCTCCGCTGTTCCTGCTATCTTGAGATGGTAGCGGAGCACCTGACCGGTGCGATGATGCTACCTGGGCCATGCAGGCTGCTCCTTGGGCTGCTGATGGCGCTGCAGCTCTTGGTGGATGTCAACGTGGAGCACTACACAAAGAAGGGTTCTTGCCAATGTTCCCAGCAAGTTCACCCCGGCGAAAAGATGAAGTGTGTAGGCTCTGGGAACAGCAATTCGAGTTCCCAGTGCGCATGTGTGGCAGGCAACTGTACTGCCCATGGATGTTGGCTTGGTGATGCAGATGGTCAACTATGGGGTGAAGATCTATGTCCGGTGGTTCAAGGCCATTGGGGAAAACTACAGTATGGACTTTGTGTAGATGGCGCCCTCAGTGCATGTGATCGCTTGGTTTGTGGCGATGCTAATGACTATAGATCTCTTAATGAGATGTCAGATGGTGCTCCAGTGGTGTGGAAAATGTTGGATGAGCCTGCAGACCTAGGTGGATGCCGACAGAACAAGCTGGCTGAGATGAACAGCTTGGACTATGAGACGGAGTTGAATGCGACCCAGGTGATGGAGTATGAGTCCAATGGTGGCGGCGCTTTGGCAACTATGAACAGGTGCTTTTTGTACATCCTGGACTTTGTGGACAGCGACTATGAGCAGTTGCTTCTCTATTTGGAGAACTTTGACTTCGTGATGGAGGTTGAGATAGCGGTTCGAAACCTTTTCAGCTTCATGAGGCACGTGATGGAACTCATGAGCGTGGAGAGAGCTTGGATGTGTTGGCTCATTACCATGATGAGTCTTTTGGTGGGAAGCCACTTGGGCCTGAGCAGATGGTTCGAAGATGGTATGGTTGGAACATCAAGGAGCTCTACATCCAGTTTGACAAGAACAACAAGAAACCGAATGCGTGTGAGAAGAGCGCAGTGGAAGATGCAGCTTAAGGCGATGTTGTTTGCAAGCTGGATTCCTGGTTGTCAGGGTATGGAAGGAGCAACAACAGGAGAGAGTGCTTTTCTTCAGCAAATGTCCAACCTAGCAACAGCAGCGACTAGCGCAGCAAATGCAGCAGAGAAGGCAATTGGTCTTTTGAGTCAAAGTGCGGCTTCAAGTTCATCTGGAGATCAAGGTGGCTTGCAGGCTGCTTCAAGAATCTTGAAATGTCCTGATGCCTACAATGGAGAAGACCCGATGGCATTTTCAAGTTGGAAATTTACTTTTTGCAGCTGGTTGAGTTTTGGTGATCCTCGTTTTCAACGCTATTTTGACAGGATTGACAAGTTGGGAGCCTCAGAGGATTTGCCAGAATATGCAGCAGTTGATCAAGAACTCAGCGTGAAATTGTTTGCAATCCTGACCAGCTATTTGAAGGGAAGATGCACTAGCCTGGTCAAGTCTATGGCGCGCAGCAAAGATGGTTTCAGGTTATGGCGAGCTCTACAACAAGAATATGAGCCCTCAAGCAGACAGAGGAGTCTTGCAATTGCCCAAACACTTTCAAATTTTCCTGCCTTTTCTGGATCAAAGACTCTCCATGAGCATATCCTTGCGTATGAGCAGTTGGTGGCGCAATTTGAAGAAGTCAGTTCGAGCAGTTACCCCTCTGAGCTCAAGATCGCTACCCTGGTGAGGTGCAGCAACCAAAAGCTGCGTGAACATCTTCAGCTCACAATAGGGGAACAGACCACCTATGCTCAGCTCAAGGAAACTATGTTGGGATACGACAAAGCTTGTCGAAGTTGGACCCCAGATACTATCCTCAAATCCATTCAGCAGCAGAATACTCCTTCTGGTGATCAAGGTGGAGTGCAACCGATGGAAGTAGACAGGATTGAGGACAAAGGCAAGGGCAAGAAGGGCAAAAGTAAAGGCAAGGGCAAAAGTTGGTGGAGCTATGGTTCCTATGCTGGAGGTGCTGGTTATGGACGAGGACGAGGCCGTGGAAAAGGACGTGGTTCCAAAGGAAGCGGCAAAGGAAAGCACAAAGGCAAGTCTAAGTCAAAGGGCAAAGACTTTGGGAAGAAAGGCAAGTCCAAAGGCAAAGTGGATGCTTCTCAATGCAAGTTGTGTCTGGAGTATGGACATTGGTCCAGGGAGTGTCCCAACAGAATGGTGCAACAGGTTGTCAACTCTGCGCATCAACCACATCAAGGAGAATATGGACAAGCACAACAAACTGTCTATGTGGCTGCTGGAGGACAAGGTGGACAAGTTGGTGGGCAACAGCAACAAGCCCGTGGTTCACCTGCAAGCAGCTATCCTCCTTCTTCGACTACGGCTTCAACAGTGCGCAGAATCTATACCATTCCTTTTGGCATTCCTTCTTTGTCCAGTTCTTCCTCTTCCTCAGTTCGAATGGTCAGCGCTGGCGATGATGGCATGCAAGATGTGGTGATCCTGGATAGCGGCTCAGATGTTTCTTTGCTTCCGTTGGCATTTGGTAATGTTGGAGAAGAAAGTCTAGATCATGATTCAGTTCAGCTACGTGATTGTCAAGGTGAAAAGTTGGAAGTCACTGGCTACAGAACAGTGTCTTTGGTGGTGACTGATTCTGATGGAGGTGAAGCTGAACTTCAACACCCTTTTCTCATTGCCAACGTGCAAAGTTGCATTCTTTCTTTGGGTCAACTTTATCAAGGAGGCTGGAGTGTGCAACAAAATTCTGGAGGACCATGTTTGGAAAGCCCAGATCAAACGCTGCGAGTTCCAGTGTTTTACAAGCGCAACAGTTTGGCAATCAAAGCCAGTGTCTGCAGAGTTGAGTGCGTGGAAGATGGAGATGCCATGTCCCCTCATGCCTATGTGCGAGCTATTGTTGAGTTGGAGGAGAAATTTCGACCAGAGGATGTGCGCAACAATCACTGGCAAGTGGCAGATGGAAATCCTTTCATGCGTTCAGTTGGCCGCAACTTCATAGATCCTCGACCAGTATGGGCTGGCAATTTTGGCTTCAGAACCACTTTGGTTCAAAGACGTTCCACAGCTGCAGAAGACCATGGATGGTTTGTTGTGGAGGTCAGTCAAAGATATCTGGAGCTAGAAGATCCTTTTGGACCTATTCCTGGTTTGGAAAGCTATTCTCCCGATGAGGATGTGATTGTGCTAACGATCCTTGCTGAACGCGATGAGTGCCTTGCTCATTTTGGTGGCTTGTTGGATGCAGGTGGAATGGAGCCTGAAGAACCATACGAACCTGAGTCGCCATACAGAGGAGAGCCTGTAGAAGAAATCAAAGGGCTAGAGATGTCTCCAGTTTTGGATGAAGGTCGCGATGATGTTCATGGCAGAGATATCCCTGAGTTTCAGGAATTGGCCCCAGCCTTGAGAGCAGACGCAGAGAGCGATGTGATCCTGGTCAATGATGTCGAGATCACTCCCAATAGCTCAGTCGAGATCCTACGTACTGCTGGAAGATTTCTTGGGATTTCAACATCAGGATCAAAGCGCAAGATCTATGATCGTCTGCGTGCTGCTCACATCTCTGCATTGCGTCTTCGTTCTCTAGAAGTGGCTCGAGGTGAATTTGAAGCACTACAACCTCAGCCAAGGTTTCAGGATGCTCCTGCACAGCCTACAGTTCAAGAGAGGAAGTTGCATGAAGTGACACATGTTCCCTTCAAACCTTGGTGTGCTGCATGCGTTCAGTCAAAGAGCCGACCCAATCATCAACGTCCCACACCACCTGATGAGATGTCTCAGAGGACCTATCCGACGATTCAATGTGATTTTTATGTGGTCTCTGGCAATTTGAATGTTCTCATCATGGTGGACGTTTGGACAAAATATGTGGGTGTGGAACCACTGAGGAACAAACTTCAATCAGTGGTTGGTGCGGCTGTTGCCAAGTTTCTTGGTGAACTTGGTTACTACGACAAGGTTGAGCTTGCATTTGACAATGAACCAGTTCTGGCAGCGGGCATGCGTGTGGCACAAAATATCAGGGCTGCACAAGGATTGGTCACTGTGTTGCAGCCAGGCCAGATGTATGGCAAGGCCAGGACTGCACTGGCCGAGCGGAGTATCCAAACAGTGCGTGCACAAGGAAAATGTTTGATGACGTTCCTGGAGGAGAAAATGCGTGTGTGCTTTCCACCAGACCATGTGTTGAGAGGTTGGTCAGTTCTGCATGGAGCTTGGTTACTCAATCGATATCATGTTTCCTCTTCAACAGGTACCACAGCTTTCATGGCTCTACGTGGTAGGCCGTACAGAGGCAGAATATGCGCTTTTGGAGAAGAAGTGTATGCACTTGATCCACTTCAGGCCAAATATGCCACACAATGGCGACGCGGCATATGGTTGTCAAAGGATTCTGCAGACATGGATTTGGTGGCCGTTTCTCCAACTGAGATCATCAGGAGTCGAGCTGTGAGAAAGGTGTCAGAGCATTGGAACAGTGAACTTGCTGTGGCATTAGAAGTAGGTCCATGGGACATGAGGAGAGGCATCAACACAGAGGTGAAGGTGGCCAAACCAGCAGAAGTTCCACTTCCTTTGCTTCATCCTCCCATTGGAGGTGTCGAGCCTGAGATTGAGGATGAGGATGCCAAGGCGGTCAGAGAATATGCTCGAGATCATCCTCAAGAAGATGTGGATGAGGGTGAAGTTGAGGTGCAACCTTTAGACTTTGAGGAAGGCGGGGCTTCTGTGATGGTTTCAGATGAAGTTCAAAGTGATCAGAAGATGGATGCTGAGCAAGAAGCGCGTGAGAAAAGAGCACCAGGTGATTTGCGCTTACCTGTGCCAGTGCGACAACGTGTTTCTGAAGTAGAAGCCTCAAAACGTGGTCAGCAAAATCCAGAAGAAGGGCAAGCGAAGTTTGTGAAGTTTGATCCCAACACTGAAGTTCCAGAACCCAGTCCAAAGCAACCCAGGACTCTTTACAGCCCAGTGTATGCAGGCAACATGGCAGACAGCCCTGGGACTGCATCATCTTCAAGGCATGTGAGAAGAGTGATTGAAGAGTTGGAGATGGTTGATGATGATGAGATGGACTATGCTGTCCCAGATGAGGCTTGGGACTGGGAGTTTTGCGATTCAGTTGATGGTGGTGTTGGTATGATGGCTTCAATTTCAGCTGAAGAGATGGCTAGACGTGGTTTTCACAATGAAGGAGCAGGTCCCCCTGAGGTGACTCAAGAAGAATTGGATTGGCTAGATCAAGAAGCTATGAAGATGGAGCTCAAGCGATTGAAGGAGCTGCAGGTGATCGACAACGTCAGTGACGATGTGGTGGTTGAGGATTGTGTACGTTTAGACACACGTCTTGTACAAGACTGGCGCTATCGTGAAGGCCAATGGCGCAGACGCGCTCGTTTGGTCGCCAGGGAATTTCGTGACGGTGATTGCAGTCACATTGACACTTTTTCTCCAACCACTCCACTGCCTATTGTCAAGCTCCTCATCATCCTTAGCATGCTCTATGACCTTGCCATCTGTTCTTTGGATGTCGGAGACGCCTTTTTGCAGGTTCCTCAAAGAACCACAGTCTTGATTGAAGTTCCACTTTGGGCACAACAAGAACAAGGTGAAAAACATCAATTTTGGATTTTGCGTCGATGTCTCCCAGGTCAACGTGCAGCAGCTTCTGAGTGGAATCAATTCTTTGTGGAAGTATGTGCACGACATGGGTTTGACAATTTCCAAGGCACCATTTTCAAGCACCGAGAGCAACAGGCCTATATCTCTGCACATATAGATGATTTGCTGGTTGTTGGTTCCAAGGAGTTCATTTTGGGTTTTCATGGTGAATTGTCGAAGGAGTTGAAACTCAAAATTGAAGGACCACTTCAATGCGGTGACGAAGGCAGCATCTATTACCTGAAGAGAGAACTCCAGTTCACTACATACCAAGGTTGTTGGAGATCTTGAAAATCAAAGACCGCAGAGGTCGTACCGTTCCACATCATGGTTGCTTGGAGATTTTTGATGCAGCATCCATTGCAGATGATGAATTTCTCAATGGCGATGAGGCGAAGGTTTTTCGATCTGCACTGGGGATATGTATCTACTTGAGTCAAGAACGTTGCGACATACAACACCCAGTTCGAATTCTTGCCTCATACATGGCACGTCCCACAAAGACGGCAATGAGTGCTGTGAAGAAGCTTGGAAGTTATTTGATGTGGACGAAAGAGATGAAGCTTTACTATGGCAAAGCTGAGCTGTACCAGTCTGTGATGCAACGATGGTTTGGAGGTCAACAGCGACTTGAGTCGAAACCATTCATGCTGGAGTTGTTCAGTGACAGTGACTGGGCAACATGCAAAACCAGTCGACGCAGCACAAGTTCAGGGCTGATCTTTTTGAACTCGTGTTTGATTCACAGCCACTCCAGAGCACAAAATTCAGTATCTTTGAGTTCGATGGAAGCTGAGATCCTTGCTGCGACAGGACTATTGGTGGAAGGAATCTACATCAAGCAGGTCTTGCAGTTCCTTGTGGGAGACACAGGTGGCCTTGGAAACCAAAACAAGGTGATGATGCGCTTGAGGCTTGACTCAACAAGCGCACAGGCCTTTTTCTCTAGGCTTGGGCCGGGGAAGGCCAAACACTTGGCCACACGTCTCCTCTGGACGCAGCAGGCATTGAGACGCAACTGGTTTTGTGTAGACAGGATTGCAACAAGAGAGAGTCCTGCAGACTTGAACACAAAAGCTTTGTCAAAAGAGCGTCGAACGTTTCTGATGAGACGAATTGGTTTGGAGTGTGATGTTTTTGAGGATGAAGATGAAGTTCTTCCTGGACAGAGCCGCAAGAAGCAATTGGCCAAGCTCTTGGTGAATATGGTCATGGCGAGCAATTTGCAAGGGTGCTCTACAACTTTGAACAGCACTACAAGTTCTTTGGTTGATGGATGGAGCACTGCATCATGGGCTTGGACTTTTGCAATGATGGTGATCATTCTTTTGGTCATCGTGGTCTTGCGTTTGGTCTACAAAATGACGCTTTTGATGGAAGAGCTGAAGAAGTACAAAGAGGTCTGGAAAACCATTCGAGGCGTGGCCAATTTGACCAACAATGAAGATCCTTTTTGTGCTGAAGGAGATGTAGAACTTGGAGAAGGACCAGAAGAAGAATCACCTGAAGTGGATGCAGAAGATACAGCTTCAGAGCAAGCTGAGCCTGGCATCAATGGTGCTATGGTGGAAAACGACAATGATGCGATGTCTGAGGTGGATGGCGAGTTTGAATCACTTCGCAGACGACCACTACGACATGAAGCCGATCATGGTTCAGCAAATGGTGGAGATTTTCTTCATCCTGGAGCAGATCATGATGAAGGTGATGAAAATGTAGAAGAAGAAAGTTTTGTAGAAGAGGATGAAAGTCCAAGAACCAGGTATGATCGGTACCGCCAATCAACCATGGAAGAAGTTAGCGACCCTGATGAGTGGACCAATATTCATTACGGTTTTGCACCTGATGATTCTGATGCAGATGCAGCTGGTTCAGGAGAATTGCCTATTTCACGATCCCGATCCAGAGAGCGTCTAGAAGGACAAGTACCAGAGCCCAAAACGATGCCAAAGCCTTTGGCCAAAAGTGTTGCGAGAAGAGTGGCAATGGACAAGGCGATGGAGATGTTGGAAGAGAAAGATTTCAGTGGTGGTGCAACATCAACTACATCAGCACCATCTGCAGGTGCTTTGACAGAGATCAACTACTTTCTGTCAAGTGTTCCTATGGCGAGCTTTTTCAACATTTCTCCAGTTCCACGAGAAGCACTTGCGCTGGACGACTATCGATGGGACCTTCTTATGCAAGGTGTCGGTCCTGAAGATTTGGTGGTGCACAATTGCAGGCGTTTGTCCAATGAGATTGACGAGGAGCCTAACCACATGAGGCAGTATGGTATGCGAAGGCTCTTGCGCAATTTGCAAAATTTGCTGGTGCTTTTTCAAAGTGGACGTCCTGAGCGTTGGATGGAGGCAGCCGATCGTGTGATGGATTGGTGCAACCATGATGGAGCTATGGATTTCTTTGATTTGGTCGAGACCGAAGCTGGCAGTCCGCGCAGTAATCATGAAGGAGAGCATGGAGAAGAAGAGACTTTGAGTGATGATCCATCACAACCAGGAGACGATCTAGGTGACTACGATGGCAGCAGTGGTGATCATCGTGGAAGAGTTGCTGAGCGTGCTGCAGCTGCTGCTGGTCTCCCATCTTCGAGCGCTGTGTGAGTGTAAGCCTATAGGTACAGAGACACCAATAGAAGAGAAAACATGGGCAATCATGTGCCCTAAGGTGTCAACAATATATGCTGGTATCAGTACAGGCCAAAACCAACTAAAATCGTTGGATTTGGAGGCGGGGTGTCAAAATCTAGCAGTCATAACGCTGACAGCGATGTCATGCCCCAGCATACCAGCATGCATGTAGTAACTGTTCTTATCAGTGAGACAACTGATGAATCTGATTGCCGCTACAAGTGGCTTCAAGCTACAAGGTGGAAAAGGTAGCCCTCCGCTGTTCCTGCTATCTTGAGAATTTTAAAGTCTTAATTTAAAAAAAGGAAAAATGAAAAACAAATGAAAAAAAACAAAAAAATGAAAAATGGAAAAAAAACGGTTAAAACAACAAAAAATTGAAAAACAAAAACGGGAAAGAAACTTGCCACAATAGAGGCTCCCCCCAAACATCAGGGCACTGAATTATTTGGAAAAAACTTGCCACAATAGGGTACCATCACACTAATCGGAGGCTAACATTATAGGAGATACAAAGCATTGCAAAGGCAAAGCCATGATTCTGCCATGAAAATCCGGCGTGCCGCAGCTTTCACCGTTGCAGGCCACTTGCCTCAGCAGTATGGAGGTGTGGAACTGGGAGACAGCTTCAACTTCGAGTCCTACTGTTATTGTATCAGAGCGTTGAGGGTGGCTGAGGCTGAACATTAGACTGCAGAAGATGGAAAGGACAAGTGAATCAAAGGCAAAGGAAACTCATGTAAATTCGAAGAAGATACTCTTGGAGACAAAACTACCTCCACAGGCTTGAACATTCTCGACGTCGCTTGATGATCTTGCGCTGCATCACACTCGCAGGCTCTCGTTGCTTGCGTGGATGGGAAACACGAAGTGTCCATGCCTTAGCAATGTGCTGGCGGGGTGCTGTACTCAGACATTCATGCCGTCGTTGCTGGCTATCCGGCTACCCGGTAGGAGATATGAAAAAGGTATGGAAGGGATTTAAAGGGATTGATTGAAAGGGATTGAAAGGGTCAAACCGGATATGAAAGGGTCAAGTTACGAAGTTACGTCCATGTCAGACACCTTGTAAAAGAGTTTCTCCGAGGCTGGGAATGTGGTGGTCACCAACAGCCCATATCGCACCAAGCTTAGCAAAAAGATTTCCAGGGCAGTGGATGGGCCACTATCCAAAACTCTCCGGTGGCGTGTTGTTTTTTCTGTTTTCTGTCAATTTTTTTGATTTTTCGGTCCCCATTTCATTCACCAACTGATTGGCTGTTGCTGCTACTGCTGATACGGTGGCTCCTCTCTGGCCCTGCGATAGTTCGTGCTCGGCTGCCCCATGTGAGATTCATTTCCCATGTTTCCCATGTTTGCCATGTTTGCCATGTTTGCCATGAAATCGTATGTCCTTTTCAAGGGGCTGATGTTGTTGGATATTATTGGATTGCAGTAATAAAGGCACGCAATCTCATTAGCGCTATGAAGACAGTGCGACTGATTTTATGCATACGCATTTCATCACATTTCTTGGTAGAAAGTGTTTCTTCAGTACGGTGGGAGAGTGGTGTTTGTGCGCATATTCTGGACAAACACATGCTGATAGATAAATTGTTCTCACCGTTCTTTGGTTTCTCCGAGAGTTTCCATGTTTCTCCTGTGTCAGGATTCCGTCTTGGGAGTTCCTCCTTTTCGTCTTTCGGAACATCCAAGCCTCTACGGCCTCAGCCTTGGTCGCTCAAGCTGTTCCATGGAACGGTTACAGAGCGAGTTAGCGAATGCACAAGCTGAAGGTTGAAGATAGCTGATTTATGCTGATTTCATAGCTGAAGATAGCGATAGCTGAAGTTTCCTTTCTCGCCCATTGGATGCGGTTTGATGCAATTTGTAGCCTGAGTATCACCAGATATCACCAGGTGACAATTACTACACACGAGTGCTGCTGAACCGCACAGATCTTGACGGGTTCGGCCCCTGGAACAAACGATTTTTATCGATGTTTAGTGATTTTGAGTCTCATTGACTTGATGTGTCTACCGGGACCATTCGAGCACGGTTTCTAGGTCAGCCGTGTCCGAAGACACACACTGCGCTTTTGAAGATGCTGTAAGCACAACACCATTGCAAGGATTTTGACGGCAGACATGTTGATCATCATTGTAGGCCACCTTTGACGCTGCAAGACTACGAGGCATTCGGGTACGGATACTAAAGCCACAGGTATAGTTGCTCGCAATGATGGTGAAAGTGCAAACATTGAATGCATGCATGGTGAGATTTGTGCTGCTGGGTTGACCCTGACCCTGCATCAGTCAACCAATACTGGCTTCCTAAAATCTTAGGAGTTCGGTGTCATTTCATTGTGTAGATGTGCCTGTAGTTTTGTTTGCTGGATGTGCAGTACCAGGTTGCAAAGTCCATCCTCTTTGACCGCATGTCTGCTGTGATTGTCACAGAGGACTCGAACAAATCTGATGATTTTGATGTGGCCCGATGCTGTCGAATCTAGCAACCGAACTTTGCATGATACTTTTTTGGCCAAGTTTATCCCTTGCAGTCCGAGCCACTATTTCTGGCATTTTCTGGCTATGTTGCGCATGAGTTGGATGAAGTCCGATGACCGTGAGTCACTTTTTAAACTTGCTCAAGATCTCACAAGCCGGTTGCCTTGCTAGCTCCTCAGACCTTCGTCATGAGCTTTAAATAGGCTGGCCCACATCACGCAAAAATAGAATATATATATAATATAATATATAAATATATATATATATATATAGAATATGTAGGAATATTATATATATACACATATACAAACTGTACACTGCATGAATAAGTATATACAGATAAATATCATATAGTATTACTATGATGATGATATTCCAAAGATGCACATATCACACGTTGCACAAATGTACATACGCACATATGCAATCATGTGGATGAGCCGCAGTGGTATCGATCAAGCGCTAGACTCTGTTGTCGGAAACTGGGAGAGTATCATTAGCTAGCTACCGCACGTCGCGACATTTCTTTATTTGTGGACCGTTGAGGGTCGGTTGCGTCAATTTCCCTTTTAGTCTGAGGGTTTAACTCAGTACCAATTTGATGAAGAACTGACAATATTTTTTCTTGTCTCAGTTGGATGTGATTGGTGCATCTCACCACATTGAAGAAAGCTAGCGTGGCTGATTGGGAACCAGGACTTTGCGCGGTCGGTGCTTCAACTCACCTGCACTCTGGGTACAAAACTCAATGAGATGCGCAAGGCTCTGGTTGCAGGAAAGACAATCTTTCAAGCCGGTTTTGCAAAACTTTAAATTAAAATTTACATAATTAATTGTGTTTCATTAAAATATATTTTATATAATATTGTTTTTCTTGTCTATACCTTTCTCAGCAATTTTGCAAGTTTGTATTAGATCACCGCAGTCACACTTGCTGTTTTGCTCTCTAAGGGTTGGACCTTGACATAGACTTGCCCTCAGCAGAAGCACTACTCAAGCATGTTGGGGCAAGAATTGGGCAGTGGCAAAGGGACTAGCAAACTTAGTAAGATTTTACAAGTAGTAAGTCAGTGTTTTGATTGATCAGATATTTGAAATATGCAATGTGATCACATGTGATCTGACTGTCAACGTTGGCAGCACGCTAGATTGAGAGAGTCTCCTAAGGCGCGGCCTTTACTTCAGGCTCACGTCCGGCCGTACCAGCAAAATGAGGCTGGATTTGTACAAAGTTCTCAGGTATTCTCACGTCATGGTGAGGCAATGAGTCTGCCGAAAGCACTGCAGATACTGCAGGCGCTGTTGGCGATTCCAACGGAGTCAGAACTTGGCATTGACGCTTTGGCGAGATTGATCGCTCCTGAGAAAGCAGGACTGACAAAGAGTCAAGACAGTGAACGTGTCCAGAAGTGGGCAGAAAGCAGTAGCACTCCAGCACTCTTCAGCGTATTTTCAGTGTATGGTCTTTGTGCGCTATGTGTGGATTAGCATTTGTTGCCAAGGCAAAGTCGCTTTGCAAGGAAGAACAGGCAGGGGTTCAGTCCGGAAAGATCTTTTTGGGAGTCACAGAAGCCTGCAACGCGAATAGATTGAACAGATATAAGATGTGAATCAGATGAGACATGATGAGACAAGATTCTTCCTTTGGTTCCCGTTGCAACGGTCAGAGTGCAGGTTTGACTACGGCCTTTATCAGGAAGCCAAGAGGCTTTCAGCCAGGACCCCAGAAGCTTAACTGCTTGGTAGCTTGGTTTAAAGTTTCAACGCTTCACAAATGCGGCCAGATCCAAGTAACCAAGATGGTATTCCACAGTATTCAATAGGAATCCTGCAATATCCTGCAATCTTGGACCTTACCCATTCTTGCACTGGACTGACTTAGGAGATTCAGGTCGCAAATTGTGCAAAGAGAAAACCAGTGCGAGACCTCAGACCCAGTCACTTCATTTGCATGCAAGGCCTGTTCCACGACTCATCGTGAATCTTGATAGCGAATACAGCGGGAATCACCGGAATACATCTGAAGATATCTGAAGTATATTCCAAGCACGATGGAGAGAAATGCCATTCCCTTGAGGACATAGAACATGAAATGCACGGTGTAATAAGATGTTGGACGCATCGAGGTAGTGGCAGAACTCAGAGCAGGAAGCTGAGGGTATGCAGTGCACATGTCATGCTCCATGAAAGTAGACACACTCGGCACTCGACACTGTAAACATTGTAAACCTGATTTGGGTATTCTTTGACCTACTTTAAACTTCTACCCTTCCTGCAGAGTTATAGGTGTTATAGAGTGGAGGGCCAAGAGGGCAGCAAATTTAGCAGATATTTGCAGACTCTTTTAGCAGTGCTGCCTTTGCGTCCAGCTTCCAAACTAGCGGTCAATGATGAACAGATATGAACAGATGCAAACAAGATCAACACGGTGACACTGTTTCCGGATGTTTCCGGATGTTTCGGGGTGCCTTTTGTAATTTCTTGGTCAAGGTCTTGCAGTCTTGCCCTGATGGGATATCCAAAAGATCCAAAAGGAACAGCAGAGCTTCAGCATGCTTCCATCGCTTCAGCTTATGGCCTTATGGCAAGCCAACAAGTCATGTCGCGATTGCGATGGAACCATTTCAGGCCCAGCTTCGAGGGTTGGAAGTCCAAGACGCCCTAAAGCGCTAAGCAGGCTTTAAAAGTGGATTTCCAAACAAGAGAACCAATTCCAACTGAAACCTTTGATAGTTGACCTTCCCAAACACCTCTCAAAAGACGCAACATGAGGGTTGCCAGCGCAACAAGAGCTGGCCAAAGACTTGGACACATCAGAGACCTCAATGAAATCCAGACAGCCGGATATCATCGGATATCCAAAACAACAGAACGCATCCGAGCTTTGCTCCTGTAGGATGTTTGTATAATTTTGTAAGATTTTGTAAGTATGTTTGTCACTGTTTGAAATTGCACAAAAAAGGCAGGCAAACAGTGCTTTCAGCCTGGCCATGTGAAAGATGATGACATGATGAGGAGGTACCACACCATGTGAGAGTTTTCCATTTTTTCCCAACATGTTTTTCTGTCAGGGGGAGATTTTCTCTGATGCCAACAGATGCCAGCAGCATACTTGTACCACCAGTGAGCGTTGGCTCATTGGGTCAGCCGTTCATCGCGCCATCGCAGGTGCCTCGAGCCCCGGAGCTTCGCAGACGCCGCACGCAATTTGCAGATGAAGCCGCCAAGCTGAGCGAACTATGGCTGATGTGGAATGATACGCCAGAACCAAAAGCTACGGATGACTGGAATTTCCACCCACAGCCATAGTGGATTGCAGTGGTAGATTCCGCGAAAATATACAATCATACACAATCAAATGCTGTTGCCTAGTGTTGCAATCGCGTGTTGAGGTTCTTGAATGGTCGCTTCGGTGCCCTCATTGAGCATGTCACTGCAGCTGATCTTCAAAGTCCAGAGCTAGGTCAAATGCTGCGGCGCACGTGGCTTCAGGCTGGATTGTCCGGCTCTTAGTTTGAGGATATTCAGAGCCAAGCAGAGCAAGCAGAAGGTCGTTCTCCTGCTAGCGTGTGTAACTTGTGTAGCTTGATCGTACTGCTACTGTAGTGCGCTTGGAATGGCGGGCGATGGCTTTGGATGGCTTTGCTCCGCTTTTCGATGAGGCTTGTGATCAGAGGCCTGGACTTGAGCCCTGACGACTTCGCTTCGATTTCCCGCCATTTTGGTGTCCTTGGCCCAGTGCCCGCAGGGCGCGAACACGCCAAACTGGGTCCAGGTGGCGCATCCCTGGGATGCCTAGGTCATTCTGCGTGTATTAGCATGTATTGCTGTAATAGGATCCTCTGCAACAAACTTGAGATAAGTCTGTAGCCACATTAGGCGTTTGTCTCATGGTCTTTGCAGTTTTGATCAATTTTAATATAACATTGTTTCATTATGTTTTATTTGGTTTGTTGATATGTGCCTATCATGATCTAAGCTTGCAGAAACACAGAACATCTTCAAGACTGGTGCAATACAACTCCCGAACTTGTGGGAATGGAAGATTTCCTGGGCGCGCGAGCTTGAAGGATCTTAAAGATTTTAAATTAGGACCAGTCAAGATCAATTAAGTAGATATTAGGTAGCCATAGTCAGGGCCTCATTGTTTACTTTTGATGAACAGACATGGCTACAGCCAGCCTACAGTCGAAAGGTGGCTGCATTCTTCGCATTGGCAATGTGCGCGACCAGACCGGTAAGCTAATCTCTCAGCCCTCATCGACAAAGGCTTGGTTCACTCTGGATCTTAGGGGTTTGTAGAATCAGCAAACAACAACCAAGCAAAAATCAAGAGTGAAAGTCAATGTAATTATAGTGGCAAATCCTCAGAAACTAATTGGGCTCTCGAATTGCAGATCTAAGTGCATGTTCAGAAAAGAATACGTGACAGTCACGGTGAAAGCCTGAAAAGGCAACTGTTCCTTGGACAGAGCATCATAAGAATCATCACCACCCTCAGGAGAATGTGCTCCTAGATGGTTCTTCTCAGTATCGCCCAGCAGAACGTTTGCCAGTGTGGCACACAGATGGTACCTTCAAGGAGACACCCGAAGCAGGCCCAGAGATGGATTGATACTCTTTGGTACTGCTAAACAATGTCAAACAGAGATGAGCAATGATGAACATATCATACTTATATAATCTTATAATCTTATATATAAGTATACTTAAGTGCCATGTATGTCGTCTTAGAGCACCACCAACGCTGCTGCCGTTTGCTGCCGCTGCAGTCTCTTCTGCCTTTGGATTTCCAAGCTTCGATTCACAGTTGCATGCGAAACAATTTTGTCTCTCATTCTCTCTTCCTCTCTCTCTCTCTCTGTCTGTCTCTGTCTCTGCACATATGTCATCATGCTCTCTATTGAAATGTTTGCCCTTAGGTTTGGTTTCATCACAGCGACTGCCGCTGGACTCCTTGTGCACTAGTCCTCCTTACTCTTGGCTTGCAGTCTGTGCAATTTGCAGGTTGGAGATGAATCTTTTGAATCCCTGGCATTCCATCCACCTCAACAGTTTGGCTTTTCACAGATTCAGAGCCTCCTTTGTTCCATTTTTGATGTCGGTGGATCTTGCTGGAGGCACAGCTTTGTATTGTCGGCAAGCCCCCGAAGAAGGAGGAGCTACGTGCTTTGCTGATGCTGCGTCGGCTTGGGAAGGCTTGGCCTTTGATCAGCAGCGGCACCTTCTGCTCCTTGGCACCATTGACATCTTCCGAGACAACTATGCCACCTGTGCCATCTATATGATACTATGCCACCTATGCTTTGGAACCTATCTGAAAAGATCTATACTGCTGAATAATACTGCTGACGCTGAACAATTTGGTTGCGAAAAGGGTCCACACTTCACACCTCACCTGCTCCATTGTGAAGCTTGCTACTCCTTCGTACTTTCAAAGAGAATGATTCAGGGATATTCAGGGTCCGGAGCTATGGTCCCACTCAGGAAACTGGACTGCATTTGCAGCTTGGCCCACCATGATGCCAAGCTGCGAAAGCGCAATCCTGATTACCCGATGCTTACAGAGGAGGACCCGTTGAAGATTCAGGATGAGATGATTTCATGCATTTTCATGCTGTTTCTGTGGGTTGAAACCTTGTTGAAATTGAATCCCCCTTCCCCTGATGAGTCAAAATACCATTGAATAACTTTTGAATGAGCCAGAATGGATCCAAATTCATGAGTACAAATGCACGATGCGGGCATTTCTCTTGCTGAAGGCTTTGATTGCTTTGATTGCTTTGATTGCTTTGATTGCTTTGATTGCTTTGCTCAGTCTTTGCAGGAACGAAAAAGAAATCCACCTCGGCGGGTTCCCTTGTCGCTGCAGCATCCAGAGACTGGACGACGCGCCATCTATGGCATCAACTCTAGCACTTGCTTCGTCGTGGAGAAAGGGCAAGAACCATGGCTTATATTATACTCACTACTAATCACTTATCCATCTTGAATTTTACCCAAAAAGGATGATGGAACTTTCCAGGGTCTCAAAGATTTGCATGCGGCGCCTACTCGTACAAGGTGAATCTATGCAAAACACAGCGGACTGGAAGAATGGTGAGTAGCATTCGTGATTATTGCAGAAATCGATGATACTATTATAACATATTATACATGATAATGATAATGATAATGAGAATGATAATGATAATGATGATAGTATAACATGACAATATTATTTTTATTTTCATCCGATTTGCTTTCTGTTTGCACACATGCTTGCAAGTTTCAGTCAAGACTAGACTCGGACGGCTAAGGAGGTGGAACCAGAAAAACTTGAAAGACATGAGTTGAGCGGCGAGGAAGACGATTCAGCTTCTCATCTGAATGGTTTCCAGGTGTGTGCGACAGGCTGTAACGTTGGGCCAGATCTGATGCATATTGATGCATTGACTGGTTTCTGAGCCCTACTCCCAAAGTTGAGCACTCAGATTTTGTATGACTTTGCCAGGTATCAATCTTGCAAGAGCTCTTGGTTCATGTAACTGCTCCAAAGTACACGGTGTCTTGGTGTCCATGGTGATCATTGGCATCCATTGGCTGTGCAGATCTGTTCAGTATCGCGGGTTCGTGTATGCTGGTCTTGTGGTGTTCAAGCTGTAAAGATTTTTGTGCTTTTTCCACAGGTCTTCTGGCAATGGAAAGCTGGAGATCTGGCAATTTGTGACACGCGTTCCACACTGCATTGTGCTACTTCCTACAACCAGCAGAAGTTTACGCGAGAGATGTGGCGCACTACTATCATGCCCTAAACGGGAAAGTAAAGTGAGAAAAGCGTAGACGATTGGACAAGCCAAATGTCTGCAGCTTCAGATTGTTCACAGGCCCAGCTACGAAGTTTGATTTGTCTTTCAATTCAAAGTTGCCAGGCATCTCTGCTCTGTCAAATTGGGGACTTTGATGGACTTTGTGAATTCGATCCGACTTTCGCAGCAGAAGTGCGCAAGCAGTCATGGGTGAAACGTAGCGCAGATATCTCTCGTTCGCAAAGAACGACCGGGGATACCGACCTTGAAGAGAGTCAAAGCTTGCATCCGTCAATTTAGATAGTTTTCCAATGGTAAACTCCTATCCCGATGTCTCTTGCATCCGGCTCTGCAAATCTTCTGAGAACGCGACAGAATTCGTTGCAAGCGCGCTAGAATTGCAGAGAAAAGGTGCAGGTAAGGTGCCTGGATTTACCCGTAGCTTGGTCCGACGTACATGATGTTGCCCGAAGCAGCGCCACCAGAATCCCACAACAGCGCATCAACTGTAAGGCAGCATCGGCGGCATATCCCGTCAAGGAAGTCAAGCAGGCAAAGTTCGCACCACTTCCTTGAGACGGGATCAGAGTATCTGTCAAAATATGTCACAATTCGATTCCCCATGATTATCGATTCCTCTATTTTTCCCGGCAAATCACAAGGGTCCCTGGGGCTTAAAGAACCAACGTAATTCCTCCAGCTGCGAGGTTGCTATCCCAGAAGTGAACGTGAGCGTTGATGACTTGTTTGGTTGCGTCAATGGGAGCGTGGAGGACTGCTAAGTTGCACTTAAATTGCGACTTTGCTGACTTTGCTCATCAATCTTTGAGGCCATTCAAGCCCGCATGTTCTTGTCTGTCAAAGGCTTCAAACGAGCCAATGACACCTGGTACAGGTACTGTCCAAGAGTCAAATGAAGCTTAGAAAAGTAGAAATATTACGACCCAATTACCCCTACATGTATAGTCTACATTACCTCACATTAGTTGTAGCTATGATTCCAACTTTCCGATTGTCTTGTACAGTCATTCAAACATCTTAATATCCCCTAGCTAGAAGCGTTAGCTAGAAGGGTTGTAGCTGTATATAGGTAGGAAGTGTTGCTCCCTTTTCCACCGGGTCCTGGGTTTAACACAGTAGCCTTCCGAACATATGGCTCAAGTCGCACACTTGTAAAACAGAGCACCTTTTGATCATGGGGTTAGGGAGTGATTCTTGGTTGTTACCCCGAAGGTCCCCACTTAACTTTAACGCTGGTTATCAGCCGTAGTTGTTCTTCTTCGGGTTGTCTATCACTCCTCAACGGTAACATAGGCCGGGGTAAAGACGCATCATATCGTCAGGGATCTTTACTCAGGTGCCCGGACAGCATACCCTTTGTCTAAGCGAGACGTAGAGTCTCACGCAAAGAATTTTAGAGACTTGGTTGGCTTGAAAGCAAGTGAACTCGCCACCCACACCCTCATCAAAATGGATGAGGCTCAGGAACTCGAACAGGCTGCGCATCAAGTTGGATCCGTGCCTGAGACTTCCCTTCCGAACAGATGACCGCATAACACTCTGTTGGAACGCGAAATTAGGGAGGAGAAGGAGTGTTGCAGGCTAGCTCACTTGCAATCTGGTTTGCCACATGAATACCACACATGCAGTTACCCTTTCGCATGCCTTTTCATGACTTTTGATAGGCCTTCCAATACCGATCCCGAGAAGACCAAGTGGGAAGCCATCACCAGAGAAAAGTTTGATGGTTATAGCGTTTATGTTTTGGGCAGCTTGTGTACTACCGAAAAATCATCCCACCAAAAGGACCTTAGAGCCCAAGATGGCTCCCGGTTTGTTTATCGGATGGCGAATAGATTCAGGTTTTCGATATAGGTATGTTACCCAAGGATATAGAACCAGAGGCGCTTCATGTGTCTTCGATGTTTCCAAGCCAGAGTTGTACCTTCCAGATGGTGATGATCTGATGCTAATTTCCAGCTGTTTTTTCCAAGCACCAAGCCTTGTCAGGGGGAATGATCCCAATGACATCAGACTCCCTGAGATGGCCCTGAAGAATGTCCTGTTCCCCTTGGATGGTGGTATGGCTTTCCCATCAACTCCCGGTCCTAAAACCAGATCGGTTTATATCACCTTAGACCGCATCATAAAGTTTAGGGAGACTCCCGGTTGTAAAGGTTGTACCAACAAGACTCGGTACCACACTAATGAGTGCCGCGCACGGTTCCAGAAATTGGTTGGTGAAGAAAAGAAGATGGAGGAAAGTCTAAGTCCAAGTCGGTAATTGTTGAACATCCTAGTGAAGTTCCCGAACCACTAGAGGACATGCCAGCGGAGGACCCTCCTCCCGCTGAGGGCATCTTTGAAGATATACTAGGAGAGCCCGAGCCAGCTGTCCCATATAATTAGTTACTCTGGCGCTGCCGCTGTTCCTATGACTTCTCCTGGTTGTGTTGATCTATGTATAACCTGGCCTAATGAGAGATCAAAACTGTCTGAGTTCGCATGCTCCCTCAACTCACAATTGGGTTTGACAAGCGTTCGGCGCGGTATAAACCACATTGGGTTAAGCAAGGAGCGTCTTGACTTGGGTGATGAAAATCAATGTTCCCAACTTGATTACCAAATAGAAGAGGCAGCTAAAACCGCGCCCACACACCTTTGGTCATCAATTCCGTGCACTTCAGGTTCACCAATACATAAACCGCAAGAAGGGACGAGCTGCTTTCATGAAACGCCTAGCGCTCCAACTTCGCGAATCGAAGCGACTTTTCAAAAGTTTCCCTAGAAGGGCCGAGTTACTGTTAAAGCTAGAAGGCACTGTTTCCTTCGAGTGGCCAAGGCCCTCGACTGGCTGGAAAAGGCCAGATGTTGTAGCTTTCTTTAACTCACACCCAGAGTTGCGCAGTGGGCCTTCGGTCTAAAAGCGGTAACCCGGTTAAAAAGACTTGGCGTGTCAAAACCACATCCCAAAGGGTAGTAGATGCGTTTAAGGATAAGACTTGCAGCTGTGAGCATCCCGTCAGCCATGTATCTTCCCCAGATGGCATATCTGATCACCACCCAAGCGCTGTACCCTTCAAAATGCGCTCAGCAGCATCCCCCAGCCATGCCTTGCCAACCATTATCCAGCGAGCCCCAAGAATATAGAGAGGTGGAACAACGTCTTAAGCACCTTTCCCCACTTTCTGGTTTTGAAGATCTCGCGGTCGCAGTAGAATCTGATCCTACTGTAAATAACCTAGTGGCCGAACTTTTGGACCATGACCATCTTTTAGCAAAAGCCCTCGAGCATGAGGACGAGCACCGTCCATCTCAGGAAGTGCAAGCTATGGTCACCAAACTTTTTTCACGCGCTGAGATGCTCTCTAATCCCAAGGCCCTAGAAGCGGTTAAGGCCGAGGCTGATGGTCTCATCAAGGCCGGTACCTGGTCCCTAGACTCTGTGGGAGAAAAGGAAGGTGTCAGGGCCGAAGCTAAGCGTACAGGAGTACCCGTTCATTTTGGTCAGCTGATGACAATAGCGTCAATAAAGTTTTTTGAATTAGCGCAACATCTACAAAAGATGGAAGGTAGAATCGTCTATAGGAGCGACTGCGCTAAAGACGAACATGGGGCTGCCGCGGTTTACCAAGAATTGGGTGCCAAGCCAACTTCGGTACAGGGATTAAATGCATGTTTAGCTTATGGTTCCTTGCTGGGTCATAGTTCTTCAGCAGCCGATGCTGTTAAGGCTTATGTTCAAGCAATCCTGTCTTCCAAATATAAGACCTGGATAGAACTGCCTCCCGAACTTAGGCCCAAACACTGGCGGGATAAATTCGTTAAGCATGTAGTTCCCCTTGTAAAAGCCCTTTACGGCCATCCAGAGGCTGTCGGTCTGTGGGAACAACATCTAAAAGAAAATAATAAAAAGTTTAAGCGGCCAGGAGATTCCCGAATATCCTGGTAACTTCTTTTTCCCAGAAGCTACGTTGTTACTCTCGACATATGTGGATGACCTGACCTTGGCCGGTCCAACAGAAGAGCACGAACCCTCCTCGGCCAAGCTGACATCCGTTGTCGACATAGAGCCGCCTGAACCCATTTACCGAATTCTAGGTCACAATCATCTAGTCATGCCTTCAACACAAGCCGATGGTCATATGAGGAATGTGCTGCGTTTCGCGCACAAAAAGGCGCTGGCTTTTGACATGCTCGATTATGCTCACCAGACAGCAGACTTATATAAGTCCATCACCAACACCAATAGTTTGAAGCATGCGGCAACACCATTCGTCCCCGATGGCTCCGTCTCAGTTGACGACGAAGAAGCAAAGGGCGAGCTTGCCCCTAATAATGCATGCAGAATACTAATGAGGGCGTTGTGGCTTGGCCGACTGTCTAGACCTGATTTACTTAAACCAATCAACGATTTAGCCACCAAAGTGCAGTCCTGGTCCACGGGGGATGATAAACGTTTGTTAAGACTCATTCAGTATACCAACACCTCAGGATCGTTTAGTTGGAATCAAAAATGATAACCCTGAACGGCTAGAACTCCGTCTCTATGTAGATGCGGATTTTGCTGGGGATCGTTTGAACGGCAAATCGACTTCAGGGGGGTTTCTTGATACTGTATGGTCCAAACACATTCTTTCCGTTGGCTTAGGTAAGCAAGAGACAAACCTCGACGTCTCGCTCTAACAACACAGCCTGAAGTCGTGTCCCTTGCGCACTCGTTGTACCAGGAAGGCTTGCAAGCCCTGCAAACTGGGAACTATTGTTAGGACGTAGTGTGACCTTGCGAGTTCTTGAGGATAATCAAGCCACTATCCTTGTGGTTAGGAAGGGCGATTCCCCAAAGCTTAGACACATGGCTAGAACCCGCAAAATAAATTTGTCTGGCCTGTCGGAGGTCTTCCATGATGACTCAGTCAGCTGAACTTGAGTATTGTAAGACCGATGACCAAGCGGCGGACATCTTTACAAAGGCACTGCCACCGCAAAAATGGGGGCCAGCACTGCGCCTATTAGGCATCCGCACTGACCTTCACAGTGAGCTTAAAGCTCCTACGGAAGGGGCTGCACCCTCGTGCACCACGTAGTTGTAGATGTAGATGTCTCCATGAGTGGGACTTGGTAGGGGGGAGTAGAAATATTACGACCCAATAACCCCCACATGTATAGTCTACATTACCTCACATTATGCGGTAGTAGCTGTACCTATGGCTCCAACTTTCCGATTGTCTTGTACAGTCATTCAAACATCTTAATACCCCCTAGCTAGAAGCGTTAGCTAGAAGGGTTGTAGCTGTATATAGGTAGGAAGTGTTGCTCCCTTTTTCCGCCGGGTCCAGGGTTTAACACAGCAGCCTTCCGAACATATGGCTCAAGTCGCACACTTGTAAAACAGTGCACCTTTTGATCATGGGGTTGGGGAGTGATTCTTGGTTTTACCCCGAAGGTCCCCACTCAACACTAGAAATGCTCAAAGATCTTAGAAGCTTATTTTTGCGTGTTGTCTCTGGCTTTGCTGTTTTTCTTTGCCCGCAGTATGTCAACGGCACCTTCATGCTACTGTGTGCGGAACTTACTGCTAATTTGCACAGAAAAGATCGTTCGCACGATTTCAAAACAATTAAATCTTTATGACTGAACATTAATTATGATCCTGATTGAGTCTCGTGAGAGGCCCCAGGACGATTGAGCAGCACAAACGCTCATGGTGGACGTCAGTTGTCTGGACCATA